AATTATGAGATTCTGGGAGTCTTCTGGAAACTAGGAATATCACACACACACACACACACACACACACACATGTCTCTCTCTCTCTCTCATATAGCTATATATAATATATATATGTATAAATAATTATTATGATTTTAATTTGCTCCTCAGCCTGCAAATGAAGCATTAGATGGTTATGTGCGGTCAGACACGTGCTGCTCACAGACAAAAGCTCTGAGGAAAACAAAAAGCAGCAGTTTCACGTAAAAGCTCATTAGCAGAGAAACGGCGGTGTCCTGCGGAAGTGGATCTCGTCTAATGTTGATTGTGGTGGAGTTGAAATGGTCAGGACTGAAGTTACAGGAGCTCTAATGTGCTCGTAATTAGAGCGGACAGTCACTCGAGACCATAAAACATCTCTCTCTTCCCGAGAAACATTACTATGTGTTTACGAACAGACATCACGGCGTACATATGCTGTAAAATGTGAACACATTTAGAGGAATCATCACTTAGCAAACGGCCATCGTTGCCAAGAACATTCAAAATGTTGTAATGACTTTTTGAACTTGATTTTTTACTGTTTTTAAACACATTTGAAAACTCTTTTGAGTAAAAGTAATATTGTGAAATGTATTCCTGTGATGCAAAAAGTGAAATTAAAAAATCGTAATTATTTCAAACCTTTGTGTGTGTGTGTGTGTGTGTGGTGTCACATAAATAACACACTTTACTTTAAACACTCTCAAACTCAAAAGTTGTGCAGTGTTATTTAGCTTTTATTTTAGTATTATATTTTGAATTAGTTTTTATATTTTTAGTTTTCATGTTATTTTTAGTCATTTTAATATGTGCTTTTGTCATTTTATTATTTTTAATTTAAATATGGCTATTTAGGTTTAATTTATTTTCATTTCAGTTTAGTTCATTTTAGTTTTCATTTATTTCAGTTAATCATTTTAGTGCTTCAAATTGTCCCAAGGCAACATTTCAAATCTTCGTTTAATTTAAGTTTTTCAACTAATATTTATATTTTATTTCAGCTTTCTTTCATTTAACAAACATTTTCATAGTTTTAGGATACATTTAGGCCTACATGACAACGATGTAGGCTACTAAAACGGAAAAGTTTTTCCTTCAAATTTTTCGCATACAAACAACAACGTTGTCAAAACGATTAAAGTTCCTGCGGATCTGCGTAAACAAGTTAAAATGGCTGTATTCTCCTGCCAGGCCAGTAGTTGGCGATGTCACTTCGTAAAAAAAACACTATGCGCATAGACTGAACATGTAGCCTAATACACGTGTGACGATAACGGTATCGATTTCAGAAACTTACACTTTCAAAAGTTTGCGTTTTCAGGCCCCCAAAACGCTGTTGTCGTGTAAATGAAAGGCCAAACCTCTTGACACCGCTTTCAACTAAAAATGTAAACTACTGGCCTGGCATGCGTAATACAGTGTCTTTAGGCGCTTCCGCAGACCCGTGTGAACGGATTGTGTTGACAACATAGTCATCGGTATGCGAAAAAATCTAAGAAAAAAACGTTTTCGTTTTAAGTACATCATTGTTGTGTAAATATACCCTCAAAAACGAAGCAAGGAATGCAAAATGCTAGTCTTTCGGGAACATAGAACAAATAAAAAATGATTTAAAACCATCACAATAGTCACAATGGTGCTTAATAGTTCACACCAAATTTCATAAAACAAAAATAGGACAAATACACAAGAGTTAGCAGGTCTGAGGTATGTGATGAGTTTATTCTTTTAGCTTAAAGAACCCTCGCATGCAGTTTGACTCACAGACTACAAGCATGATGCATTTAAAAGCTATTGATTTATGTTTTATGCTATTTTGATATTTGTTTCATATAAATTCGTAATATACCTAGACTTCATTTTCTCAATACAAGTCACATTCACATGGAGCAGTTACTGTGTTTATGTGGAACATACGAGTCTCTTACATGAAAAGAAATGTAATGATAACGTTCAGAACTATAAAAATGTAAACAAATGCACGCTATCCCGTCAGTCTTCAGTCATCGAGATGCATGTCAAATAAACATTGATAACAGAAATATAAAACTAGAATCAATCACTCCTTCATAGGTGAAATATGCAGTAAACAAAAACGGTGCACATAAATACAGTATTTCTCATGTTATATATATATATATATAAACAAAATGCATAATACAAATAAAAAAGTCATATTTCAGCTTCAACATAATCAAAATGATTATATTTCCCATATAACAAGCATCATTTTGTTATTTTTATTTGAGCTTTTATGATGCATAACCTTTTACTTTACACCTTTCACATTCCCTACATAGATTATAATTCATAATTTTTAATTATATAACATTGCATATTCCTACAAAATATTTACACATACGAAGGACCATTTTTGAGAGAAATTTTAAAAAATGCAAAAGACGAGAATGCTTAAAGATGAAGTTTTGGCTAACGACGCGGTCTAGAACATCTACCTGACCAAATTTGAGTTCATATACAAAAATGAATTTGCAACCACTGAAGTGAAGAGGGTGGGCACAGATCTCTAGACAGTTCATTAAAGCCGTTTCAAGTGCAAATCAGTGAGACAGGAACAGGAAAGGCTGAAATCAGACCGGTTTCACAGTTCAGGGTGTGATAGAAGTCTTGAGGTTTCATGGAAAGTGTTTGCTACAAGCTCTGAACCGAGGCAGGCGTAAGGGAAGGCACGTGTGCGAATGGCTTTCTAGCGTGTTGAAGAGAGACCTGAGAGGCACTGAGCCATTCTGAAATACTGAGTGGGAAACGGGTGAGATTTCATGCAACTATAATTACACGTGTACCGACGGCAACAGTTGTGGAAATACATCAACTCTGTCTCAAGTAACATAGGATAAACAGATTGCACATTCGCTTGAAAACAAAAACAAACATGAGTAAATGCAAACTTCTAGTGACAAACACAAATCATTGAATAAAGGGAAGTGTGTCATTTCTGCAGCAAAAGAAGCACCAAACATTCCCGTTCATCAGTGGAAGTTGATCAGCGGGTGCATGAATCACTGGAAGTGTGCATTACATCTCGTCAATAGCAACACACCCTTCACTAGTGCTATATTAGATGAAGAAAGATGCGTTTTGCTCCCATAACTGTATAGTAGTTACAACAGTGACTAACTCTGCTAAAGTAGAGAAACTTTGAACCATGCACAATCAATGGCGAGCAGATGGGACAACCTTTTTCTAGTAAATAGTGATGCAGGTATGACCCAAAAGACTAATTCGCCAGTGGTTCCCTTGAGATCTTCCTATGGGGTTTTATAATGGAGATCAATTTATGAGTAAACAAAGGGTACATTTACATGACGACGATGTACTAAAAACTGTACTAAAAAAAGTTTTTCCTTTTCATTTTTCGCATATAGACGACAACATTGTCAAAACGATCTCCATACACAATGATCCGCGAGAACAAAAAAAAAACGGCTGTATTTTTTCTGCCAGGCCAGTAGGTGGCGATGTAAAGAAACACTACACGCCTATAGACTGAACACTTAATACTCATGCGCATGACGTCACCGTTTTCACAAGCTCGCGTTACATGGAGACGATAACGGTATCATTTTTAAAAGCTTGCACTTTAAAAACATGTTTTCCAAAAATTTTAGGCCCCCAAATCGCTGTTGTTGTGTAAATGTACGACCAAAATGCGTAAAAAGCTTTCTGTTTTTAGTTGAAAACGGTGTCGTGCAAACTGCACACACTCACACCCCATCCGCTCTTATCTAAAGTAGTTACTAATTAGAAACATTTTTTTTTTATTAAGGTGTGTCTAGTTTACGCTGTAGAACAAAACTTCCAAGTATTGTCAAGTTATGTTTACCACAGACCTTATTTTACTCATAAATTTAACACTCCCATTATAAAAACTCGAGGACACCACTGTCGAATTAGTCTTGCGGGTTTTTCTGTCATCCCTGCAGGGCTGGGTGATATATTAAATATTTACAGTATATTTGTTTTTATTTTGCTGGGAATATAAAATTAACGGATAGTGTAAATATTACAATATAATATTTGTAATGATACATTTATGTAATGGTGGAATCAAATCATATATTATGACAAATTACACCATTACATAATTAATTCTCAAAATATATACAGTATCAAAAAGTAAACATTATATAAACACTACCATTCAAAATTCTGGGGTCTGTAAGATTTGTATTTTTGAAAGAAGTCTGTTCTGATCATCCAAGGCTGCATTTATTTGATTTAAAAATACTGTAAAAACAGTGATATTGTGTACTAGTATTACAATTTCAAATAGCTGATTTTTTATGTGAATATATATATAAGCTCAAACAGTAGAGCGTTTGGCGCTTGCAACGCCAAGATCATGGGTTTGATTCCCACCCAGGGAAAGCAAGATCTGATAAGAATGTAAAAATGTGTACCTTGAAAAGCAATGCGAGTCGCTTTGGATAAAATGTCTGCCAAATGTAAATCTATTTTAAAATGTAATTTATTCCTGATCAGAGTCTTCACTATTCCAGTCTTCAGTGTCACATGATCCTTCGTAAATCATTCTAATATGCTGATTTGCTGCTCAAGAAACATTATTATTCTTATTATCAATGTTGAAATATATATATATAGACTTTTTAGGCTTTGCTATTAAGGTTTGGTGCCGCTTGTGGGACAGAAATAACATACTTCACCTTTAAATGCAAGACACTGGGAGAAGCACACAGTCAAACTAAACGTATCAGATCATGACATGAGACAAAACAGTTTTCAACAAGATTTGGTCCATCGCCGTTAACCAGCGAGTGAAACATGTAGCAGCTTCACTGCCTAACTAATGTTAATCACAGCTCCAGAATAGGCACAATGTTCAAGTATGCTCAGGCAGTATGGCATAGACATCCACATCAAAGAGACAAGGTCACCTGACCCTGACAAATAACTTGAAGTTGTAAACAATTATTGGTGTCAAAGAAAAGTTCAGAGCAGCTACTCTACTTCTTCACTCGGTTACCTTTGTCCTCCACTTCCTTTTCATGCTTGTCCTTTTTGTATTTGTTTTTGTTCTGTGCCGGACTATCGTCTGATCGCTGAGTGGATGTAGCGAGCGTTGTATCCGAGTCTTCTGAAGCGCTGGCATCGCTGCACTTTTCATTGTCCACGGACTCTTTGCTCCGCACCTTCCCATTTTGTTGCTTGTTCTCTTTGCGGATTTTACGAACTTTCTTCATACTATATCGGACCAAATGGGTCCTGAAGGCTCTCTGGATGATTGCAGCAGACATATCTTCATGTTTCCTGCGCAAAGTTGTGGTTATAGGCTCGTAAGAAGACTTGGACGGGTTGGAGGCCATGAATCGGTCTTCCATTTGTCCGCGGAGGAGGTCCATCTCGCCACCTTCTCCGAGAACACGTTTGGTGAAAGCGAACAAGATATCTAGACAGTGGATGCGTTCGCCGCTCACCATCGGCATATCCATGGAGATCAGCTGCAGTCGGTTGGGTTTGGGTATTCGCAGAGGAGGATCCAGCGAATTCGCGAAGTCCGACAACTTGCCGTACTCCATGAACTGCGTGGCTTTCGGGTCGAACTTTTCCCAAACCTCGTAAAACCTGTTAAAGTCGTCTTCGCTCAAAGGCTCGGCGCTCTCCTCGGTGGCCACGCTGAAGTTCTCCAGGATCACGGCAATGTACATGTTCACCACTATCAGGAAGCATATGATGATGTAGCTGACGAAGAAGAAAATGCCGATGGATGGGTTCCCACAGTTTTTTTTTTCCGGTTCACAGTCTGGCCTGTCGGTATTTAGCATGGGTGCCAGAAGGCCTTCCCAACCTGCCGAGGTGGTGATCTGAAACAAACACAACATGCTGTTGCCAAACGTCTCAAAGTTGAACATGTCGTCGATGCCGGCCGTTTTTTTGACGTAGGCAAATTTGGACATGCCGAAGATGGCGTAGATGAACATGACGAGGAAGAGCAAAAGTCCGATGTTGAAAAGGGCAGGAAGTGACATCATTAGCGCAAACAGAAGGGTCCGTATCCCCTTGGCCCCTCGGATGAGACGTAGTACGCGGCCGATCCGGGCGAGGCGGATAACACGAAACAAGGTCGGCGAGACAAAGTACTGCTTAATGAGTTCTGCCAGTGACATGCCTGCAATGACAAGAGTCAAATAGTGTTCATTTCTCATTTTTGTTTTGTTTTAACCAACTAAATGTCTTGGTCTAGTTTTAGTCAAAGAAAGAAAACTTAGTCACATTTTCATCATGCAGCATAATGGTTAAATTGATAGTCACACTTATTACATTTGGTTATGTACAGTCAAACCAAATATTATTCAGACAGTAGACACCATATATAACTGTTGATATTTTTTACTAGTGGGTGCAGGACACTATAGTTCATTTAAGCAAGTTAGGATAGCAAGGTGTCTGAATAAATTTAGATATTTGCCTCGCTGCATACAAAGTTGATATACAAAGAAAAATACTTCCCTACTATACAGTATGCGAAAAACAATACGCCACCATGGTAGTATGTACAAATAACCCGAATAACCCACTACTTCTGCTGAGATTCTAAAGTGTGTACTCAATGGACACTTTACTATCCCATGAGGCCATAGGACAGGATTTACGAATGGCAGTGAAGTGACGCAACTGACGCCGGTAGGTCACGTGACAGTAACAACATGCCGGATATAGTATGTCTGAATTTCATTCATACTACCCATAATCATCCTATATAGAACATACTTTTTTAACAGTCGTGAAGTAATTCAAATGTAGTATCTACAGACAGACAGAATACGATTTTGGACGCTCCGTCTGTTCTCAGATCATCAGAGAGATTATACGGTTGCCAGATAGCAAAGATTAAGTAAAACACTGGGAAGAAAATGGATCCTTTTAACAGAAAAGCTCTGATTGGGGGATTTCAGCTCTTGACATCTGGCAACCGCAAGTCTATAATATTTGTTTCCTTTTTTTTGGTAAAGTTTTTATTTTTGAACTACATTTTAGTCTTGTCTTTTATCATCAACAATATTGCATGTTGATACAGTCACAGGTATCGTTTAATGACCCTGGTGTCGTCCCGTCATCATCTTGTCTTAGACATGGACAAGTGCTCTTTAAAGGGTTAGTTCACCCAAAAATGAAAATTCTGTCAGTAATTACTCGCCCTCATGTTGTTCCAACCCCGTAAGACGTTCTCTCATCTTCGGAACACGAATTAAGATATTTTTAATGAAATCTGTGAGCTGGATCACCATAGGCTTCTTCAGGGATTGAACTTGCCGGCCTCGAAAACTTATTAAAGACATCGTTAAAATAGTCCAAGTGACTACAGTGGCTCAATCTTAAGTTTATCAAGCGACGAGAATACTTTTTGTGCGCAAAAACAAACAAAAATAACGACTTTTTCAACTATTCATTTCCTTCTCTGTGGGCCTCGAGTCAGTTCACTAGTGTAATAGCGTAAGCTTCTGTTGTTGTACGTCACACGCATCACGCACATGACCAGCGTCGGCCAATAGTGAGCCTACGTGTGACGTAGCTCTACGGAATCACACTACGTTAACTGACTAGAGTCCCAAAGAGAAGGAAATGAATAGTTGAAATAAAGTCGTTATTTTTGTTTGTTTTTGCGAACAAAAAGTATTCTCGTCGCTTGATAAACTTAAGATTGAGCCACTGTAGTCACTTGGACTATTTTAACGATGTCTTTAATAACTTTTCGAGGCCGGCAAGTTCAATCCCTGAAGAAGCCTATGGACTAGTATGGAGGAGTGATCCAGCTCTCAGATTTCATCAAAAATATCTTAATTCGTGTTCCGAAGATGAACGAAGGTCTTATGGGGTTGGAACAACATGAGGGTGAGTAAATATTGACAGAATTTTCATTTTTGGGTGAACTAAACCTTTAAAGAGCATTTTTCTTCAGTTTTGTTTAATAAAATTAACACTAGATGCATGTACCATGCTTTTTTCATTAATTGATATTTCAATCATGATTCTTTACAGGGTTTGAAATTAACATCCGCCAAATGCGGGTAAAAATCAACTGTGGCGGGTAACAAATCAAATCACTAGCCAGTTTGGCGTGTTATTATGTTTACTCACTTTGCTGGGGAAGTTTGTGTAAGCCAAATCTGTGCAGATTTAGCGCAAATACTCAACTTGTGAGTCATCATGATATATTAAATACAGCGTATTGCGCAGAAGCTGCACATATCTGGCTTACTTGAACACACGCGACACTACGCAACAAATAACGGCACGCTTGTTCATTTTCATTGAAGCAATAGCGAAGATTAAAAAGCATTTGATTAACAGAAAAGACATTGATATTTTCCAACATCCTATATGTTCTTTGTGCTGTATTGAACTGTCCACCTAAACACACATTTTTGGTGATGAGGATGAAAGATGAAGGGAGGAGATGGCTGGATGACAGGATTTTGTTTGAATAAGAAATGGATGTATGAAATCCAAATTTTATTTTATATATACTGTAAATACATGTATCATGTACGTGTGTGCGTGTGCATATTTATATATGCATGTGTATATTTATGTATAAAATTAAAAAAATTTGTAGCCAAATTGGCAGGTGGATAAAAAAGTTAGTTTCTTTATCACGCTAATGTGTCAACTTATAAGCAGTATTTCGCTTTTTGCGATTATTTTGCGGTTAAATGTTGACTTATGCAGGATTTAAAATTGTGTTTCAGAGGGGAAAAACTGGAGGGACTGATAAAACAATTATCCAAGTCAGACAGAGCTTAGTAAAAGGTCAATTCCTCGTCATGCTGCAGATCTTACCTACGATAGACAGGACGACAACGATAAAGTCAAATACGTTCCAGCCAACGGTGAAGAAGTGATGCCGTAGCGAGATCATCTTTAGCACACATTCGCTGGTGAAGAGCACAATGAAGGCAACATTGATCCAGTACAGCACATTGGTCATTTCTTTGGACTGATCTTCTGTCTCCACCATCATAGTGACCATGTTGAGCCAAATAAGGACCATAATGAAAATGTCAAAGGCTTGTTTGGTTACAAGGTCAAAGATGAGTCCTTGAATCTTGTTCTGGCATTAATGAGAAGATGTACAGGAACAGATGTTAGTTTTATTCAAAGACATTTACAAACAAGAAAATATGGTTTAAAGGGATCGTTCACCCAAAAATGAACATCTCCTCGTCATTTACTTAAAGGGGTCATATAATGGTACATGCACTTTTACAAGTTGATTGTACTGAAATGTGTGTTGGCAGTGCCTGTACACAACCATCATATAATGATAAAAATCCATCCAGTGTTTTTGTTTTAATCTCCTTATACGTTTTCCCTGTCTCAAATCGAGCCGTTCAACCGTGTGACGTCACACGCTCGGACGCCCCTCCCACGATTGTTGATTGACAGCAGCATTTCAACACAGACCCGCCCTGAGCGAGCTGTCATCATAGTCTGCCATTGTTGATACACTGGAGCAGAATGGCGTCTAAGCGATTGTGGTGTTCTGTTCTTGGGTGTAATAACGAACACAGCAGTCATTTTTAATGTTCCTAAATCCGAACCGCTGAAGACGCAGTGGCTGAGTTTTGTTTTCGAAGGGAATATTCCCCACGAGCAACGTCAATGCGTTCATGTTTGCGCGAATCATTTCTCACCAGACTGCTTTATAAACGAGGAGGGTCAGTACAAAGCTGGTTTTGCTAAGAAGCTGCTCATGAAAAATGAATCGGTACCAACTTCATGTCCCTGCTGCACCTCCAGAAGAAGTGAGTGTAAAGTTTTATTAACCTTTATATTAATCTTTGCAAATCGCTTGCACGCTTCACAATGAATGCGTCTAAGGTTTACACTCAGGGTACATTACGGCATGTTTTCTATGTACGACGTTCTCAATATAATTCATAATCTCACGTTTATAATGAACAACGCGTTATGGTTATTGTGTTGTTACAAACTGTGTACGTATACATCAGTAAACACATAGCGTTCGTATCTCACTACTCTACCCTGCCAGTACGTTACATTCAAAGATAGATAAAAGTGACATTACGTTAACCAACCATTCAGAAACGTCCTGTTTGAGCCTTAAAGGGGTAGTTCAGGATTTTGGACATCGGGCCTCATTTCCAAGTTAGTCTTAGTGTTATTTATCAGTGGAGACAGTTTTAAAAAAAATTCATCCAGTTGTTCCAGTTGCATAGTTCGCCGGTCCTAGGCTAGCGCGAGTCAACGGTATCTGCTAGCCTGCCATTAAAAACAGTTTTACCCACTCCACAGTACACCAAAAGCAAATCAATTATAACGCCAGACTATCGATGTAAATGTCTGTTAAGAGAATAATGTTAGAAATAGTTATAGTGCAATAGTTATACTTTGTTCCCTGTATTTATTAGCACAGTCTACAGCAGCGGCGGAGTGATATGTAGTTATCTAGGCAACCGAGAGAGAGGTAGAGAGAGGTAGTGAGAGAGAGAGGTAGAGAGAGGTAGTGAGAGAGAGAGAGGTAGTGTGAGAGAGGTAGTGAGAGAGAGAGGTAGAGAGAGGTAGTGAGAGAGAGGGGTAGAGAGAGGTAGAGAGAGAGAGAGGTAGAGAGAGGTAGTAAGAGAGAGAGGTAGTGAGAGAGAGAGGTAGTGAGAGGTAGTGAGAGAGAGAGGTAGTGAGAGAGAGAGAGGTAGTGAGAGAGAGAGAGGTAGTGAGAGAGAGAGGTAGAGAGAGAGAGGGGTAGAGAGAGAGAGAGGTAGAGAGAGGTAGTGAGAGAGAGAGGTAGAGAGAGGTAGTGAGAGAGAGAGAGAGAGAGAGAGAGAGAGAGAGAGAGAGAGAGAGAGAGAGATAGTGAGAGAGAGAGGTAGTGAGAGAGAGAGAGGTAGTGAGAGAGAGAGAGGTAGTGAGAGAGAGAGGTAGAGAGAGAGAGGGGTAGAGAGAGAGAGAGGTAGAGAGAGGTAGTGAGAGAGAGAGGTAGAGAGAGGTAGTGAGAGAGAGAGAGAGAGAGAGAGAGAGAGAGAGAGAGAGAGAGAGAGAGAGAGAGAGAGAGAGAGAGAGAGATAGAGAGAGGTAGTACAGGTAGTCCCGACTGTAGTGCGCTTCGGTTCTGTGTTTACTCTTCGGCGCAGCGCTACTAACCGGAGTAAAGTAAAATCCCGCCACTGCTGAGAAACTAGTTCCTGTAAATGTATTGCGATCATTGAGATGCAAGAGTAGTTTGATTTTTAACATTATTCTCTCAACAGACATTCACATCGATAGTCTGGCGTTATAATTGATCTGCTTTTGGTGTACTGTGGAGTGGGTAAAACTGTTTTTAATGGCAGGCTAGCAGATACCGTTGACTCGCGCTAGCCTAGCACCGGCGAACTATGCAACTGGAACAACTGGATGAATTTTTTTTAAAACGGTCTCCACTGATAAATAACACTAAGGCTAACTTGGAAATGAGGCCCGATGTCCAAAATCCTGAACCACCCCTTTAAGGCGATGATACACAGGGCAACTTTTTGAGCAATGTTGCCGTCAACGGGCAATCAGATGAGACACAGGGCCCACGACAGATCTAAATTATCCAGATAGAAATGTATTGCCCATTTTCAATGGGAAAGTGCCCAAGCAACAATCGCTTGGCAAGATTGCCCAGCAAACATTGCTCGAAAAGTTGCCCTGTGTATCATCACCTTTAATTGTCGAACTTCTTCGGGGCCGTCATCTTGCTCCGGGTCCGACTCCGGTTCAAACTGATACGGTTGCACAGATGTGTCCTCAGAGACTCCCGCTGCCATTCTTTCTCCAAAATATACCCTCAACTGTTGTCAAGGCAACACTCCACGTGCGTTGTGTCAAAACGCCCGCAGAACAGAGGGGCGGAGTCAGATAAGCTCATTATCATTTAAAGACACATGCACTGTGCTGAAAACAGAGCTGTTTTTGACCAGGTAAAATGAGTGATTTTTTACAATACTGAGAATTTTTTATTAAAGTATATTACAAACTTTTCATTTAGACCCAAAAGAATCAAATTAACTTGTATGAAAATGGCATTATATGACCCCTTTAAAAGCAGCTTTTGCATTTATAAGAGATGATAATACAGTTCTGGAGGGTTCATGATGACAAGAATGCAATTTTTAGAGGAGCTATTCTTTTACAGGAATGCTTACTTTTGGCCTTGGAATAGGTTTTTGAGGCTTCTTCGAGCCAAGCTTCTTCATAGCATTGTAATATTTCTTCTGCTCTTCTGTCATGAAAATATCCTGACCTCCAAAGTAAAGACAGAAAACAGAAAGTTCATTTTTCGACAACCAAGGAAGACGCGATTTTAGAATCCAAAATCTGTACTTTGCATGTAAAGAGTCGTCTGCATCCAGTAGACAACAAACTAGCCTTAGGAGAAATCTCTGAAGTCTCAAAACAAGATACGATCAGAAGCAGCTTAAGCCAATAGATACTTATCTTTTTCTTCTGCTGATTGAAGTTGTCAATGATCACACCAATGAAGAGATTTAATGTGAAAAAAGCTCCAAGGATGATGAAGATGACAAAATAGAGGTACATATACAGATTCACCTCATACTCTGGCTGCTCATTCACCTGCAGACATAGAGATAGTTTAATAATTGAGTTAATCTATAATAAATAAAATACAATGAATGATACATTATTGAAGGAATTAATGACTTACTTTACGAGAGTCTACCGCTGCATACATAATGGGCATCCACCCTTTAAATGTGGCCTTGACAAAATGAAAAATTAACAGTTTACTTTTTAATTTTTAGGACCATTATTTATTATTATTTGAATGGTAACACTTTACTTGAAGGGGTGTGCATAAGACTGACATGACACCTTCATAACCATGACATGACATAAGTCTTGAATATGAAGTAGGGTTTATGCATGTTTATGACAACTGTCATTAAGTGTCTTTCGCTCAATAATGACATTTTGAATGCAAATATGACATTGTTTAAGATGTCTTTGTTATGACATCTTGACATTAACCATAACATCATAACCTGTCAGTGTCTTTGTCATGACAACTTGACATTAAATTAAGTTAAACTGTCATGTGGTTGGCTTTGACATTGGCTGTCATAAGGCCATTATAACTGTGTCATGAATATTTTCCGTGACCTCACAGTGGTACTAATTGAATTTGACATTAAACAGTTATAATGGCTTCATGACAGCATATGTCAAAACCAACCACGTGACAGTTTAATCTAATGTTAACCAATAAATCTAGGTGGTTTCTTAAGTTTGATAATTAACCTGCTATGTCATGTTTATGACAGGTTGTGTTGTCTTAGTAATGTCAAGTTGTTGTGACAAAGACACTGACAGGTTATGATGTATTGGTTTATGTCAAGGTGTCATAACAAAGACATTTCAAACAATGTCATATTTGCATTAAAAATGTCAAAACTGAGCGAATGACTCTTAATGACAGTTGTCATAAACATGCATAAAACTTCCTTCATATTCATAACATATGTCATGTCATGATTATGAAGGTGTCATGTTAGTCTTATGCACACCCCTTCAAGTAAAGTGTTACCCAATAGTAATAATATAAATAATACTAATAGGAATTACAAAACGAAAACATAAAAAGGGTAAACTTCTGGATGCATTACATTACTAATAAAACAAACAAACAAATAAATAAATAAAAATGACATCAGATTCACCAACTGTAGCCAATTTTCCAATCATGTTGAATATTTTCATGATGGCACAAATACATAATTCTACATTTTCCATGTTCTAGATTTAAATAAATAAATTATAGTATTTACTGACTACCAGCTATTAAGAGCATCCTTACCACTTGTAGCAGGGCCAAGTATCCATTTCCCACATTGTCAAAGTTAATCTTCAGATTTCTCCAGCGAGTTTCATTTGTGCCATCATTTATACAATCGCTGCTGTTACGGATCTCTGTGGAAGCCATGCGCTTGTCCGTGGTAGAATTTACACATTCATAAAACTTTCCGGCAAAGAAGTTGACGCCCACAATGCTAAAAATGAGCCAGAAGATGAGACAGACCAGCAGAACGTTCATGATGGAAGGGATGGCACCCAGAAGAGCGTTCACAACCACCTGTGTCCACAGAAACATCACAACCTTACAAACTGTTATGAATATGATGCAATAATCATGGAAGCACTTTGTTTGACAGCGTACTGTATTGTACAGCCAATGTTTTTGAATAAATGATTATTCCTCTGACTGAAATAAAAGCAGCCTGCTTTTGAGCCGTTTCACATACACGTGGAGATACATCAAATATCATATCAAAAGGCTGAAAATCGACATGTAACTTTTTAGCCATATTACAGGCCTGATTCACCTGTAAAACAAAGTGCATCCTGTTTTAATTCTATTGACTTTTGGCAAAGAGAGGAAAACACATGAGTGTAATAAGAAACTTCCCAATGCATAATGGTTAGCAGTAACAAGAGCAGGAGAACATTATTATTATTGGCAATTACAACAACAACACATGAGGGGAGAATCTGGGAAAGAAGAAAGATGAATGGAGAGGGAAAGTTATGCAGTTCGATGGGTTGTGCAAAGTTCAAAATTCAACAATCGGCTCCATTGGATTTCTGCATGCTTTGTACCACCTCAATTCAATTCCAGAAACCGAACTGCAATTAAAATGCCTCTCAATTCAATTCTGAACGACGCACAACCCTGACAGTTTGGCATGAAAAAGCACGACCTTTAGGAAGTACCGTGAAGCCACAGTATTCGTTTACTGTAAACGAACAAACACAAAAAGAAATTAAAGCACATGTTAAAGGCACTCAGCAGCAATAACACAACCAGATGCATGGTGTATTTCTAGACACTGTCGATACAAACAGAGCAGAGTGGAGAGGAGAGATCAGTGATTGCCACGTGAGGGGGAAGCCATCGCAACATCACATTTATGTGGAAAGCGTACGCAAGCGTTTGGTCAATAGCAGCACTATCGACCCTCCTGAGCTTATTACATAAAGCTGCACGTCAATGCTCCCTATCATTGCTTGCAATTCACAGCTTGTAATTGTTTAGTAAAACACCACAAATGGTGACCAGACACAGGATTATATCTCAGTACCGACCCCATCTCACACATTACAGCAGATCGCATCCATAGTGGCGACCCTATAAAAATGTCCTTAAAATCCAACAAAGAAATGTATTAATATTACTATGAACTGCATAGGGACATTACTGAGTGTCTGGATTCTAAACGTCTCTTGATTTGCAATGGTTTCAAGCTCCCGGCAGCCTCATAAAACACACTGGGTTCAGCTTTTTGAAGATGAGGTAATGTCAATAAATTTTTCCCAGTTTCTAAGCACCTTTTATCACACAAAAATCTCCACTTAATTCCTCTGGGATGCTGTGTAACAGTAACTAAGCTTAGAGAAAAGTCAGTTAGGTCACTGTTTGACAATCATCTCAGTGATAAATTCACCTGAACCAATACAAATCCACATTTTTATCTGCATCGTCTAAAATGGGGAGCTTGAACTGATGGTAAGCAGGTTGATGTGAGTCTTGTGCTTATTGATCAGGATTATCGGGGACTCATGCTGGGACACATGTTTAGCTGGAACGGTCAGAGGAGGAGACGGAGGGAAAAGCCACAGTGATGATTTACTGTACAACAGAAACACATTTCTCTCTACGCTCTTAAAGTCAACATAAAATACAAGTAAATTGCATTTACTTGATGCATGTTAATGGTCTTATTGGATAGGATTATGTGCACATTATACTAAAGCAAAACTTTTTCGTCAGTTAATATTTCAGCATGTTTGTGGTTTCTCTGATGCCGGTTAATGGTCGCAAACAGTAAAGCATGCCGTTAGCAACACCAAGGTCATGGGTTTGATCGCCATTGAATGCAATCCAATGCAAATTAAATGCAAGTCGCTTTGGATATTATGCATGTAATGCATGAAACTAAATAAAATATTTGATCTTTTTCTTATTTCTATTTTTAAATGATTTACTTAATATTTTAATAATTATTAGCTTTTCATCTACTTACAAACCCCCTGCAGTTTCCTAAAAAAAAAACAGTTTGGGGAAAATCAATAATACTGGTTGTCAGTTTCATGTTGACTTTAATGAGCTGATCTGCTTAGAGGACTTCATTCAGATACATCACCTCTTATCAACCCAAAACTACTGAAAAGGAATTGTCACACTAGTTGTAATTTTTAAAGGATGTTGTCAACTTAAACTAAAGTGCAACAGACAACCAATCATGAGCTTGGCTCTTTAAATATTTATGCACTTTTGCCAGAAAAGTCGCAAATATTTTCAAGTGCTGTATATGTCTATTTTCATTTATTTCCATTCACCAGACTGGTTTATGCGGTGACAACTCCAAAAACGTTATAAAACATTATCAAAAAAGTGTTAAATTTATGATCAAATCATAAAAATCTGTTAAATTCTCGAATAATGTCTGTATGAGTGTGCAACGGGAGTCGAGCCTGTATTCTTTTTCTGGTCATCATAGTGACAGTGACCATAGTAATATCTATGATGGTGAAGTCCATAAAACTGAACAGTCTTATTACTTTTGAGTCCAATTGAGTTGCGAGTTCATCCATCAAATCTTTATTAACTGACAGCATCTTTTATATCTAGGTGGAGAGCAAAATAACCCAGAATGACACTGGATTAACAATTTTCAGTGTGAAAAGCCCAAAAGAAGACCAACATTTTTAATGAATTCAGGTCCGCTCTCTTGTCAATCAGCCTTTCTTTGGCCACATTTGAACTCCTTGCCAAATTATTACCCCGCTCGTTGAGGCCGTTACCTGGTTGCCTAATCCTTACCCACCCTTACAGAGACAGAAACATGAGCCGTGTGTCATTTAAAGGTTTTAGATCCAGTCTCTGAGTTTTATGCGTGACTCAAATGGACCGCACTCCACCCAGATATAAAAGCTGCTGTCGGTTAATGAGGATTTGATGGATGAACTTGCGGCTAAATTGCACTCTTATCGTCTCAGAAGTCATACAACTTTTCAGTTTTATGGACATTGTCATCTTGGATATTACGTTGATCACTTTTGCTATGATTACCGGTAAGAAAATACGTGCTTGACTCTCGTTGCTCGTTCATACAGACAGTTATTCGAGATGTAACTGTAAGTTTCTGTTTGATCGGGACATTTCGAGACACACACCTGTAAGTAAATGCGGTGTCAATCCCAAAAACTGACAGGGTGAACATAGCCTTTGATTGAATGAAGTCCTCTATATTATCAGTTTAACAATAAAGGCCACATTAAGAGATTTTACCCTCATTCCCTCAAAGCGCGAGAGAGCTCGGAGAGGTCGGAAGGCTCTCAGTGTTCGGAGAGTTTTGATGGCGCCCAGGTCTGAATACTCCAGGGCGTTGGCCACCAGGCTGATCAGAGAGACCTACACACATAAACAGAGGTAATTAGGAGAAAAGCAGGAATCCATTTCTTCCTGCTCTGATCTCTACCTCCCTGTGGTTTCTTATGGGAAATATGGCCTTTCAAATGAACAAATGACCAGTTTGCTTACCCAATCAAATAAGTCACAAGCACTCACATGCATAACACAGAAAAACGATCATTTCAAGTCGCTCATTCTCAGCTCACACACAGTTCACTGATGCTCTCTTGCTAATGGTGCTTTTATAACCACTGGGGGGATTTTACTAGAAAATGATTTGACGTCGTTGATTTGCACCTGCTGTCTGCGTTGTTTTAGCACCCAATTCACAAAAGGACTCACGCAAATCAGGTAATGCTGCAAACTCGCAGACAAAATCTGAGCTAAATGTGATCTGCATGGTGCAGAGTCATAGGGCCAGATTTACTAAACAGGGAAAAATAGAGAGAGAGAGCACAATCCCCAAAAAGCGCCGGAGAGTCTGCGCGTGATCTACTGATGAAGCGCAGATTAGCTTTTTTGGGTGTTAAATAATGGCGCAAATACTAGTAAATCGACTAGCGCACACCTTCCATGATTCATTTAAATACTCTCCTCCCATAATTTTTGCTTCTGAAAGGGAAACTCCAAATGCATATGCAATAAGGTCAGCCGCAAAAATAATCCTGTCCGCTCCTTTTTTAAGGAGTTTTAAAGTTTTTAACTGCGTGTCTTTAGTAAAAAAAAATCTTAAACTTGTTTTATTTCAGCTAGTTGCCAAAACAACATTTCTCATTTTCATTTAGTTTAAAGATGTACTAAATAAATAAAACTAAAAAAAAAAAATAAAAAATAAAAAACTATATAGACATATTTTTTTTAATTCTAATAAAAATGACAAAAACACAATTACTAAAACTTTCAAATTAAATTGAAATATATATATATATATATATATATATATATATATATATATACATATTTAAAATATACAAATAAAAATAAGTTCAAAATATTAATAAAATCTATAAAAGTATCTCACTAAAATGACACATTAAGAGGAAGAGCATTCTGGACCATGGGAGAAAGTCAGTCATACAGATTTGAAATGACATGAGGGTGAAAGAATGATTGCAGAATTTTCATTATTTGAGTTTGATATCATATTAATTCAAAAGCTGAACTTACATCAACAATAACAAAATCCAGCCAGCACCAAAGATTGGTGAAGTATTTGGCAAATCCATATGCGACCCATTTCAACAGCATCTCAAGAATGAAGATGTAGGTGAAAACTTTATCAGCAAACTCCAGTATGGTCTTTACGTTTTTTCTTGTTTCAAGGTAAATGTCCTCAAAAGCCTGAAAAACATATGTTAAAATTTGATGTAAGGAAAAAAATAATTAGAATTAAACTAGTATACATGGCAACAAGCGTGTGAAGAAAAAAAAAATCCATCCAAGATAGTGGACAAAATGAGAAAAATGTTGATTATAAATGAGCATAAAATGCATTCAATACCAAAAAGTATTTATAAAAGATAGAAGTAAACCTGCTAATAAATAAATGTGCTCTGTATTATTCTACTTCTTAGATTGTTGTCATTAGGTTAGCAACATGTTCATGTCAAACTATTGAAATCGAGTCTCACAAACAAGCAAATGTATTTCCCCTCACCAGAGCGCCACTGCTGAGCAGAATCATGAAGACGATGAAGGTCTCAAACCAGCTGTGCTCCACAATGTTATAGCATGTCTGTCTCAGCAGCCACCATTTCTTCCACATGCCCTTTTCAGCATCCACCTGGCAACACCGGAACCTTCGGACACACCCTGGAAACCAAATCGATTTACTTTTTCAATTATCTAAATCTTTCATTTTTACCTACTTTTGCATAGTTTTTGCTTACCGTTTCATAGTCATTTGGAACTTAGCAAACTGGCAAGATGAAAAGATTTATCTTGAACTCTGTCATGTATTAACCTTAATTAAATAATTTAATAAGCAACTAAAAAGGAATTTATACCTGTATGATATTACACTGTACCCACATTGGACCAGTGGTTCGGGCGCAAACTTCTGGTCAGATGGGGAAAGCGTGCGACTCACACAATGCATTATGGGTATTCTCTAGCCGTTGAGCGTACATCGGTTGTACACTTGTTATTGTGGTGCATTGTGAGATTGAATGAGTGCACTCGATAATGTCCACGATGGTTTCAGACAGTACTACAAATGGCTGTTCCCTCAAATAGTGCCCTATTTAAGGATATAGGGGGCGATTTCAGACACAGGCCAGGACCTGGTTGGGAACCACTGACGTCGTGGACTCTTCTCCCTGGCTTTTAACCCAGCATGAGAGCTGTGTAGTCTTGTTGCTTTAAGTGTTTTTATGTTGTATTTCTTGTTCAGCACTTTGTAAACCTGTGTTTTAAAAAATGTGCTATATAAATAAAATGGATTGGATTGGATTCTTTCACAACATTCACCTTGCTCATGCTTTTGGCATGCGGACCAAATGATGAAAATTACATCACTGGGAGTGCGCAGAGTGGCACGTAACGTAGACAGCCGAATTATACTTTGGGCTTAACCGTTTTGTTAATAGCCCTCTGCCAATCCCACTGTCTGATGATACAAAAATGCGGTAGTTTTCACAAAAGTTCTAGAGCATTTTGAATCATCCGGTAGACTTTTGCTGGCAAATGAACATGAATTTCTCGGCCCAAGTAACACATTTTTTTGTAGCTCTCGAAATGAGCCTGCTTTTTGAAAATGCCCAATAAAAATGTATATTTGAAACCGATTGCTAATAAAAATTAACACTTAAAAAAAAAAAACATACACGTGTACATATACTACCGAGATTGTAACAATACAAAGTGGTTTAAAAATGGGCAACCTTACACTTTAAGGGCCCTATCTTGCACTCGGCGCAAATGACTTTGTACACTGACGCATGTATCATTCCTATTTTGCACCCGCGCAAAGCGGACTTTTCCCTCCACAGACACACGTCGGTTAACTAAGAAATACACTTGCCGGGGCGTTTCAGCGCAAAGAGGAGGCGTGTTCCGGCGCAAACTTTCCCTCATGCTATTTTGCTGTTCAATAAAACAAATGCGCCACTGACCAGAAAAAACCTAGTCTAAAGTCAGTGGCGCGTTGCGCGTTGTTCATAATGCTATTTTAAGGGCGCATGCTTGGCCATAATCAATGTAGCGTGTGCACAACGCGCATACACTTTGATTCTCTCATCTAAGCAGCAGGTTTCATTTTTGCAAATCATACATTATTACGACAGACAGACAGACAGACAGACAGACAGACAGACAGACAGACAGACAGACAGACAGACAGACAGACAGATAGATAGATAGATAGATAGATAGATAGATAGATAGATAGATAGATAGATAGATAGATAGATAGATAGATAGATAATTTATTATAAAAGCATACATGTAGCTTACACATTTACCCAAATTATCATACGCCTGTTTAACAGAAGTTAATTTGGGTGGGTTTCTCCATCCCCAATGTCACTTCTCTGTGTTTTACGGCCCTGACGAGAACGTTGCTCTCCTCGGCTGTGAACCGCGCGCGCCTGGCAAATCCGCCGTTATAATAGGAATCCGCTTTAGAACAAGCGCGCCTGCTCTTAAAGGGAATGTGAGATGACGCTCTGATTGGTTTATTTCACGTTACGCCCAAACCACACCTATGAATAATGAAGCTACTTCAGACCAACCCCTTTTAGATTTGCGCCAGGCGCAAGAGGCATTTATCCCGCCGGGAAAATAGCAACAGCGCCGGGATCCGCCCACAAAGTTACTTGCGCTTTGCGCTTTGACACTTGCGTTTCAGATCGTTAAAATAGGGCCCTATGTGTCAAATACTTTTTTGGGGGGTACTGTACATATCGTGGTATTTCCCACTGTTACTACCAAACTTTTTTTTATAAGAGTTTAAGGCTAAAGAACACATTTTACAACAGTCTTAATAGTGAACAAACTATTAGCTGAATCACCTGTTGTGAAACAAGCTTCTGGTTCTGTAGATTCCTCAAGTTCAAAGTCCAAACCATCTTCTCCTTCTTTAACCACGTGTCTGAGGTCCACCGTGCTGCCCTCTGAAGAGCTGGGAGCCACGTTAGACAGCCTCTGCAAGAGCACACACACACACACATCACACATTACTATAGCAACCGCAGAGGAGACGATACATGTGTACACGGTTTCTGAAGTCAGTAATTTCAGCTGAGTCACTGAGCCAAGCCCGAGAAGTAAGATTTGCTTAGTGTTGCCTTGGATAAAACCCTTTATCTACATAGACTAGTTCATAGGCATTTCCAAAACATAATAAGCCATGAACCATGAGCTCTGAGATAAATCATAGTACACAATACTATACGTTTAAAGTTTAATGCATAATATACAAACATTGAAACTTGAAGTTGAAATCACATTGACTACAGACACACATACAATCACTTAATCTCTGAGCTCATAGTTGGCCTGTCCTGAATGGTTTATATAATATGTCTCTCGTTTTTGTCTTGTTATCACTCACTTGCTAAGCATTTTAACAATGAATAGCTGATGACAATTTAAAAAAAAAGTGGATATTTGTAGAAATCATGTTACCTTTCTAAAGGGCTAATTATATCCCAAATTCAACATATGTATATTCTTTTAGCTTGAGATGGCCCAGTGCAAATTATAAAAAAATCAAGATGTTTTTTTTTGTCTGATCATTTTTGGAAAATGTGCCTTTTCCATAGACTGAATGCATTATTGCGCTTGTCCAATTAACCATGACAAATTCTGAAAAATGACCATATCTCGAATCTCAACTGTGTAGAGCTGTGTATGTACATACTCATATATGTACATACTATGCTGTTAAATATATTTTATTATATTCAGTGTACATTATTTGGTTTATTATAATAATAATAAAGCTTTGTCCACCAGCTCACTGAGACTGTTGCATTATGGGAACACATTCTACGCAAAGGATACATGCACTACTGTCCTATATACTGCCCTTATTCAACCATATGTGCCTATGATTCCTTACAATGCTGCCTAAATAGTCAGATCATTAGATTTTTTTTTTTTTTTTCATTTGAAAGCATATCACCCTTCACAAAACTAAAGCGGTAGACCTTTTTGGACAATCTCAAAGAGCTTGCCGTACAAATGACCGATATAAAACCGTTTTATGCCAAAACCACAGACCACCACATCCCCGATTCCCAGCAGGAAGCAAATGAGCATGTTATCATGAGGCTAACATTCGCACTCAGCTCTTAAATGACAGATAATGCGATCTGAAGACTGATATTCCCTGACCTCTCTTCCATAATGGGTCGGGCTACACGTTGACGTAATCCACAATGCACTATTTGCAATTAACCCGACCGGAGAGGAACTTGACCACGATTACACCAGTGAGAAATCAAGTGAAACAATCAGAAAGCTTTCATTTTTGGGGGGCCATGTACATGACAATATCTACACCAAAGGATTGGTTCGACATCAGTCATTTTGCACTGTTATTGAAGTATTCCTCCCTTTGTACTGTTCTGTACATTTACATTTAAAGGGATTTAAAGTACATTGACCCTCCATTTACCCTCAATATCAAACTCACTTGCCAGAATCATGCTCTATAGTTTGAGTTACAGGAATGCTACAACATCTTTCCAAAAATATTTCAGCAGATAATTAGACAAGAACTAGGACCTTAAGCTTAGCCATCACAACTGTAGTGGCATCTATCCCTTATAGCCTCATTTTTATTCACCTCAAATTAAATATGGCATCTACCCTGATCGAGATCCAAAAGAAGTACATTATACTGACTTGTAAATTATATGTCGTCAATAGCGGTTCACGTCCATGAGTTAGGGTGCACTGCTGATACTGTATGCATTGCATACAAAATCCACTCCATAGTCCACAACCACTATTTCAAGGGGACTTGGGTGCGCACTAATGAAAGCGCTGTCGGAAAACAACTTGCTCACCAACCAACCAGACCAGACACATATGGTTTTCAGTGACTGGATCATGTTTGGATCACAACTGACTGCATCAAAAGTCAGGAGTAAATGCACCCAAGATGAATTGTGATCAAATACGCATTTGAAGGTGGTCTAGATTTAAATCAACGATATCACATTATTTATCAAACTTATGACTTGGCATATGATTTCTCTTATTTCTCTCCCATATTCCTCTTCACTTCTAATCCCTATTACCATCCAAAACTAACGGTAAATTCATATAGAAGGGAAATGCAAAATCATACTCTGAATTATCATCAATCTTTTTAAAATGCGGCTTATAACGCAACCTCTCACATAATACACTGCTTGTTCAAAGTTTGTTGTCAGTAAGAAATAAATATGTTTATTTAGCAAGGACACATTAAACTGACCAAAAGTGACAGTTAAGACATTCATAATGTTACAAAATATTTCTCTTTCAAATAAATGCTGTTCTTTGGAACTTTCTATTCATCAACGAATACTGAAAACAAAATGCATCATGGTTTACGCAAAAATATTAAGCAGCAACTATTTTAAATAACGATAATGAAATATGTATGATTTCTGAAGGATCATGTGACACTGGAGTAATGATGCTGAAAATTCAGCTTTGCATCACAGGAATAAATTACATTTTAAAATGTATTTAAGTAGAAAACAGTGAGTTTTAATTGTAATAACATTTCGCAATATTGCATTTTTTTCCTGTATTATTGTTCAAAAGAGTGCAGGCTTGGTGAGCATAAGAGATGTTCAAACTGACCCCAAAGTTTTGAACAGTAATGTACACTACCGTTCAAAAGTTTGGGGTCGGTACGATTTTAAATACTTTTAAAAGAATTCTCTTCTGCTAACCATGGCTGCGCTTATTTGATTAAAAATACAACAAAAATCAGTTATAGTATTAAATATTATTCCAGTGTAAATCAGCTGTTTTCTGTGTGAATATATAGTAAAGTGTAATTTATTCCTGTGAACAAAGCTGAATTTTCAGCATCACCAGTGTCAGTGTCTTCAGTGTCAAATGATCCTTCACAAATCAGTATAATATGAGGATTTGATGCTCAAGAAACATTTATTATTATTATCAATGTTGAAACAGTTGTTGGTCTGTCAGTTGTACAGTTTTTTTTTTTTTTTTTTAGGATTCTTTGATGAATAGGAAGTTCAAAAGACTTTTGTAACATTATAAATGTCTTTACTGTCACTTTCGATCAAATTAATTATTCCTTGATAAATAAAAGTATTGATTTCTTTCCTCCAAAAAATAAAAATAAAATTCTCACTGATCCCAAACTTTTGAACGGTAGTGTATATAAGAGCCATTTTGGATTTTGCTCAAGTGACTGTGCTTGAATCTCTATTCGATCATATCAGAGATGCATATGAATGAAGGAAATGCAAAAGCAGATACCAAACATATCATAATGGCATGTGTAAAGGGGGCTTTTCATATCCACCCATCCCACCCCTGCTCAATTCGTTTTCTTTAAAACATTTGGAGGTCTTTGAAAAAATGTCAAATCATTTCAAACTGCAACCGTACCTCTTTATCTTCCTCTGTGTCTGAAGAAAGACTGCTGAAATCCTCAGTATTGAGGCACTCAAAATCCGACTCCTCGGCAGCCATCGGGACACTGACGGTCAAGCTCGGGTTGCTGATAAAATTCTCAGTGTCACTGTCCTCATCTGTTCCTCCAGTGCCTTTAACCAGCTCTAGTGTGGTGTGGTTGGAGTTATCATTTATTCCCTTGCAGTTTATCGTGACCATGTTCCCATCTAGAGTTTTCTTTTTCTGCTTCCTCCTCTTTATACAGCTGCTCCGGAAGAAACTCTGCAGACAGGCCTTAACTACAGCGAAGCCTCTCTTGATTCGACTAACCGCTATCTGCAGGTTGTTCTTTTCGACCTCATCGTCATTGGCCGTGAGATTGTCCGCACTGAAGGAACTGAGCAGCAGAGCGAGGAACAGGTTCAGAACCTAAAAGGAAAGGCAAAATTAGGAAGAAGCCAACTACAGGTTCAGAATAACTTCACGCACTTCAGGGGCCTCATTTATTAAATGCATGTACTATTAGATTTGATTCTGAATACTATGGATTGATCAATTGAATTTATATTAGTATCTTTAACTACTTTAACTACTTTGTGGTGGGATAAGGGTAAGGTTAGGGACAGGTTTGGTGGTATAGTTGGTTTTACGGGTGAGTGGAGTAACGTGAAAGGAAAGGGTCAACAGTCTAATTATAGAAAATAATTAAAGCTGTAGCTACATGCAGGTTTATATATATATATATATATATATATAAGTACAATGTAAAGACATGTACACAATAAGTCCATTGTATCAAATTAATAATTGAAATGCTTCTACATAGTACTTAAAGGAGCTGTATGTAAGATTGTGGCCAAAACTGGTACTGCAATCACTTTCAAATTACTGTAGAGCGGTGTATCCCCTCCCCCTCCCCCCTGACTTGAGGTTGCCAGATAGGCTGCAGGATCCAACATTTTTTTATCCGACAGGTTTGTAGCTGCAGCTGTGGTAACTAGAGCAGAGCTGGCAACCCGGATGCCGCAACACTACTGACTTCGTGATTGGTAGATCGGTGGAGAGCGGAGCATCAGACCAAAACACAACATGACAGCATCAACATCAGTTGAGGGCTGCAACTTCACTTTTTAAATGACAATATCATGGCTGGACTACTGTTGTCAGTGATACAAGTATTTGAAATTAACATGATTTATTAATGTCTAGTGACATATCAGGGCCATTTTATGATTATTTGAAATACATTTCTTACATACAGCTCCTTTAAAGACACTTAATATAAAGTGGGACCCATTGATTTTATCCTATGACTCAAATCCGAAAAAAATGGCATGAAAATGTTCTTATGCATACACCAACTGAAGAGCCTGCTCACAAACATTTATATTAGGAATGCACAATATATCGGCCACCATATTGTTATCGGCCGATATATGGTCATTTTTAATGTTGTCTTTATCAGCCCGATAAGAAAATTTGGTCGATAGTCGATAAACAAGGGATTTTTCCTTTAGCTGAGACACTTCAGATGTACACTGTTCACCATGATGGTTTTGAATTGCCTGAAATATGATTGGCATCACTTTAAAAAAAAGTTCAACATGTGCAGCGTAAGTCTGACATATAGGCTACATACAATTATAATGAGACCATTATAATTGTGTGCTTGGGAAATGGCTTGTAATGGTGAGACTTTTGTTTTTGTAATCAGGCTCTCAAAAATTTTAATTAAAAGTGGATTTTGAATCATCGGCCAATATATCGGTTATCGGCTTTCAAATATAAAGAATTATCAGTTATCGGTATCGACCAAAATTTTCATATCGGTGCATCCCTACTTTATGTATTGTTAATATATTATATAATATAATATATCACGTCGATCACATTATAAATGGATACATTTATGCACATCTTTATAAATGAGGCCCTAGGTTTTTTAATGCTAATTAATTGAGGTGAACTATACATACCACCAGATTTCCGATCACCATGACCATCATGAACACAATTAAGCACAAAGGCTGTCCTGCCACTTCCATGCAGTCCCACATGGTCTCGATCCACTCCCCGCACAACACCCTGAAGACGATCAGGAACGAGTGGAAGAAATCGGTCATGTGCCAGCGAGGAAGCGTGCAATCCTCAGAAATCTTACACACACAGTCACGGTAGCTCTTCCCGAACAGTTGCGTTCCCACCACAGCGAAGATGAAGACGATGATGGCTAGCACAAGCGTCAGGTTGCTCAAGGCGCCCAGTGAGTTGCCAATGATCTTGATTAGCATGTTCAGAGTCGGCCAGGACTTAGCTAGTTTGAAGACCCTCAGCTGTGACAATAAGATGCATAGAAAATTAGTATGGTCCATAGATTTTTTTTCTAAATGTATCAGCATTGGTCAATATGATAAATTCTTTTATTTTTACATTTAGATTACATTTGCCGTCATCTAATGCTGACTTACAGATAATCTTTAAAAACACTAATTATTTAATACAATTATATTGACATAAAATCTTTTTTTTTTTTTTTTAACTGCACATTACAATGCTGCGATGAACTTGTTCCATTTAGATAGTTTTTAATGTATTATTTAAAATGTATTTAAATTATATTTAGTGTTTTATACCATTCAAAAGTTTGGTGTCTGCATTTATTTGTTATAATATTTTACAAAATTACTGTTTTTATTGTATTTTTGACCAATTTAAAATAAACTATTTTGAACAAGAGATGGTCTTAGAAGGCAGCATTACACACATCACCTTAAAAATCAACCTTTAGATTAAGGGGGTCATGACATTAATTGTTTTTATTATTTGAATATGTTCCTTGAGGTTCACTATATTGTTACTATGCGTAAAAAAATTGAAATGATCAGTTTTTAAGGGGCGGCTCCTTTAAGGCTTGTCAGTAAACAGCCACTGTTATGATTGGCTAACGTCACTGCATAGTAGACAGTATCAACACCCCTTCGCTATTGTGTGAGAGTGTTATCTAAATAAAACTGGCGACTGAATGCCAGTGGGCGGGTCTATGGTGTGAGGATGTATAACTATTTGTCCATGTCTTTCTCTGGAGGCGGGCATATGTAAATGTATTTGCAGTGTGACATCGCAGATCCCGCAGTATCAAAACGAGCCGTTTTGGATCCTGATTAAATAAATGCTTTGTTTACAATGAGGAGGACGTTTTAAGCTATGAACCTTGCAGGATGTTTTAATGCTATAAAAACCTCTGATATGTCAAAAGATAAAGGCAAATTTGATTTCTCATGTCATGACCCCTTTAGGAGCGCACCTATGCTGCATTTATATGCCGTCTAGGTCATTGGATATATAACATGACAGCAGGATACTCTTACCAGTCGGAATGGCCTAAGAAGACCCATTCCAGAAATCACGTTTTGCAAACAAAGTTCCATAAGACTCAGTGTGACTATGATGCTGTCGAAGATATTCCAGCCTTCCTGAAAGTAAGAGTATGGGTCCAAGGCAATTATCTTCAATGTCATTTCTGCAGTAAAGATGCCTATGAAAACCTGTAAGCAAGGAGATAAAACTTTTGGTAACACTTCACAATAATGTTCCATTTGTTAACATTAGCTATCTAAATTACTCCTAGGCCTGGTTTCACAGACAGGGATTAGATTAAGCCAGGATTTAGTTCATATAGGACATTTAAGTAGCAATATAGTAAATATTGTAAGATATGCCAGTGCAAGTTACTTTCGGTTAAAACAGCTCAAACATGCATTTTAGTTTGGGACTAGTTTTAAGACTTGGGGGCTAATTTATTACTTCAATGAAAAATACTTCTAAATCTTTTATTAATCTTACTTAATGTTAATTTCAACATTTACTAATACATTATTATAATCAGAAGTTGTCATATGTCTTGTATTATAATAAATACTGTAACAAATGTATTGATTTTTATTAAAGTTTAGTTAACACATCAACTAACATTCACCAATGCGACCTTATTGTAAAGTATTACCAATCTTTTCAAAGTATTTTACAAAAGAAGAGTTGTCCACTGACTAAATTTGTAATAAAATCATTACATTTGTTGATTAACTGAACATTTCGGAGAAAACATCTCCTTAAATAAAATGGCTTTCTTAGAAATCAAAATACTGTTGTAACACTTTTTTTTTAATATAAATCAATTCTACTAAATTTAATTAGTAAACTCACACTTGTCATTTCAGCTGGATATCTCACTGGTAATTAATAACTCTTTCTAGAATAACAAAACAAGTCTCATAGGATTTCATTTTAAATGCTGCTATAAATGTTCTTACCACGTTGCCAGTTGCAAGCATACTAGAATAAGCGTCATTCATAGGGTGACACTCCATGGCCATGAAAATTGTGTTTATCACGATGCAAATGGTGATAATCAGATCTGCAAAGGGGTCCATCACAACCATGTGGACGATCCTCTTTATCCTCAGCCATGTGGGATTGCAATCCCAGATCAGATAATTCTCTGCAAAGTCGTACCAGCGCTCCACACACTTCTGTTTCCAGACCTCCCACGCTGCCATGTTAAATAAAAAATGCAGACGACAATCTGAAAGCTGTAGGTAAAACTAGCAGGTATTTCAGCATCATTTGGACAAACTGAACAAATACTGATAAGCAAATAAGCACTTAATCAAAAGAACAGTTCACCTTTCTTCTGTAAAAAACAAAAAGGAAAAATATCCATACCACTATATTCATTATAATGAAAGTCAATGAAAACTGAGGCTGTCATTCAAAATGACAATATAAACACAAATAATTTTCAGTCTATTCCTCAATAGTTAATACGCCATATATGATGACTTTTTTAGCTTGACAACCTCAGTCACCTTTTATTATATTGATAAGATTGGTCAAGATACTCTTAAAATTCAAAGCAGAATTAAAATCCTACAGTTTTGGAACAGCATTGGGTTAAGAAAATAATGACAATTGTGAACCATCTCTTAAAAATGGCAGGGAGAAAAAAAAAATCAAACTATTATTATGCCTCACATTCAGTTTCTTGTAAGTGTGTTCAGCATTTAGGGTTTCTTACGGTCAGGGTTGTTGACACTTGCTACACTCAAAGCTCTCTGTCTCGCTGATTGGTCAAAAGCCCCAGAAAAGCGCGAGTCACATCGACGTCGGGGTCCATCTGAGTCCAACTGTAAACAGATCCAATTATCAGCAAATACATAAACAAATGTTACAGTGTTTGCTAGACAGCATTCTCTCGCTATGCATCAATCATTCATCGGTTAACTTTGAAGACAAAGTAGCATTTCAAATGTATTCAGGCAACCTATAAAACATTTCGGATTGATATTAGTTAAGTTGCTTTTTACAAAAAACAACAACAACCCAAATTTGATTATATCAAAGCCAAAGGCACATTTACATTTTTACATTTAGTTTATTTAATAACATTTTAACCACCTTAAGAATGCCTTCGTATGTCACTATTATTTAACTTAGTAAATATTATTAAATTATTATGGTAGCTTGTTAAAACCAGAGAATAAAAAAAATGTAAAAATCTGATGTATTTTCTTACAATTGCGAGATATAAACTCACAATTGCGAGATATAATATCAGAATTGAGATATAAAAACTCCCAATTCTTACTTTTTTTCCGCAATTGAGAGTTTATATCACGCAATTCTGAGAAGAAAAAAAGTCAGAATTGTGAGATAAAACGTTTTTATTCAGTGGTGGAAACAAGCGTCCATTCATTAAATATGTTTATACAATAATAAATAAATAAAATGACATTATGTGGAACAACATAATATAAATGCAAGCGGAACAACATAATTTAAATGCATGCTTTGAAAAAAAAAAAAAACTTTTTTATGTAATTCATTAATTGAACAAATAATTGGCAAATTAATTGATTTGGTTTCACAACTTGATTTTGCAGGCGAACACAGAATTAAAAGTATCTCTGCAGATTTCCACAGAATAAGAATGCGGATCATTGAAAAAGTTATGAACATTCATGCGAGTTCATATGTGTTTATGAATATATTGCGTAATTTTTATTGTGCAGCATTTTTTTTATACCATATTTAAATCCATCCTGCAGAATTCTGCAGATTTTCACCCAAAACCAGCACAAAAAAAAAAAAAAAAAGTGCAAAAGAGTACACAGATAGCATTATGCCCATAATAAAAATGTGCAATTTAAAACAACGCATTATCCACAGCAACAGCACACACAGGCCATGCAAGGTTCGTGCACTGTTAGTTCTTTCCCTTACAAAAGTCTCGTCAAACATGGCTCTTTTTTTGGACACTTCGGGCGTCAGGATTACAGGGGGGGAGTTGGGTGAAGAGGCTCCGCCCGACACCATCACCATGCCATTGCTTTCGACCACATACCGCGCTTTTCCGTTAGATGGCAACAGTATACGTGGCGACAGACTGCTTTTGCTAAGAGTACTGTAAAGACGGTCGGGTCGAGAGGGTGGAAACAGAGAGTCTTTCGGGCTGCCTGTCTCCTCAACCATGCTTTGCTCATCGTCGGCGTAGTTGTTTTCAGAATGCAGACGCCCGCGGAAGCTGAAGACGCTACCTTTGCTGCCCCGACGTGGGCTGAGGATTGAACCCTGAAAACTCAGAGGGGACTGAGGAGACAAACAAGCTTTACAAACACACTGACAAACAAATCAAGGCATTTGAAGAAAATTCGCTAAACCCCACTACATCATTTTACTTGATTTTACTTTTACTTGTCCGGCATTTATTTATAGACAAGCTCATTTCTAATGCAAGTTCATGAAAGTTCTGTGTGTTTTTCTGTGTTCACTCCTTTTTTGAGCATAGATCTGAACTTAAAAGTATTAGAAGTAGAAGTAATGCAATAATACGGAAGCGTATTGCATTCACTTGAAGAAAAAAAAATCTACTCTGTTTTTCTGAATTAATGAGTTAATTATCTCAGAATTACGAGATAATTTTTCATGGAAAAAAAGTGTTTGCTCTGTTTTTCTGAATTAACGAGTTAATTATCTCAGAATTACGAGATCATTTTTCATGGGAAAAAGTTTTTGCTCTGTTTTTCTGAATTAATGACTTGATTATCTCAAAAACTCATTAATTCAGAAAAACAGAGCAAAAACTTTTTTCCCATAAAAAATTATCTCGTAATTCTGAGATAATTAACTCGTTAATTCAGAAAAACAGAGTAGATTTTTTTTCTTCAAGTGAATGCAATACGCTTCCGTACAATAATGCTTTAGAATACAGACATTTTGGTCTCTTTCTAAAGCAGATTACCACTGAAGTCGAGGCACATAAAAAAAATGAACGTTAAAAAAAATAAAAAAATAAAAATAAACGTACTAAACTAAATGTACTGAACTAAAAAAGAAATATTTTATACAAGCCGCTATTATTATTTTACAATATAAAATACAATATTAAATAGATTATAGAATATATATAGTATTTTACAATATAATTTGGACTCTAAAATTGCTAAAGCCATGTCTAACCAAGTTATGTTTAAAATTTGAAGTTGATATCACAAAAACTGAGCCCGCTAAAAGGGTAAAATACTGTTCCATGGTAAAGCAATGTCCAACTTCAAAACGGGATGAATTTTAAAGTTTAAGTTTGCAAATGGTACATCATTTATGATGATTACTAAAGCTAATGATAGGAAGAAAAAAATGCTATTAAAATTGTGTGCCAAGTGCCGCTACCGGGACACTGACGGTTAAAAGGCTCATTTTTAATTTTACTTGCTCATTTTACAGTAATGATGATCATGCTGAATTTATAAAAAAATATTTCCATCCATCTAGACATTAGTGTTTCCTTATTGTAAGAAAGTATTAGAAGTAGAAGTAATGCAATAATACGGAAGCGTATTGCATTCACTTGAAGAAAAAAAAATCTACTCTTTTTTTTCTGAATTAACGAGTTAATTATCTCAGAATTACGAGATAATTTTTCATGGAAAAAAAGTGTTTGCTCTGTTTTTCTGAATTAACGAGTTAATCATCTCAAAAACTCATTAATTCAGAAAAATAGAGCAAAAACTTTTTTCCCATAAAAAATTATCTCGTAATTCTGAGATAATTAACTCGTTAATTCAGAAAAACAGAGTAGATTTTTTTTCTTCAAGTGAATGCAATACGCTTCCGTACAATAATGCTTTAGAATACAGACATTTTGGTCTCATTTCCTTATTCCTATAGAAAACATCAAATGATTTCTAACCTGATGTGGAGAAGAGCAAGTCCTTTCACGTGAGAGCCGAATTTTTCCATTGTCTGTCAAACGGAAGCTGGCCTTTCTATCGTTTCCCTCCATCTTCAAATCATCCTCTTTCTCTCCCTCCCCCTGACGCTGTCTCTTTTTCCTGTGGTTACGTCGTTCTTTGGCACTTTTGGAGCTGAGTTTGGAGGCGTCCGAGGAACTGTCCGTTCTATCTCCACTGAGCACATCACACTTGGACGCTTCAGCCGCAGCCTGTCAACCAATCACAACGTCATTACACTTCTGCAACAGTTAGCAAAGGTTTCATGCATTTACATTTATGCATTTGGCAGAATTTTCTTTTTTATCGGTGCATGTATTCCCTGGGTATTGAACCCATGACCTTGGCATTGCACGCACCATGCTCTACTTCTTGAGCTACAGGAAAATGCAAAAAGCTTGCATTTCATACCCTGTTTATATGTAAACACCCAACAGACCTGAGCTTCCTCTTCCTGTATCATGAGCTGCTCAAGCATGGCATTGAACTCCTCCTCTTTCTTCAAAGCCTCATCAATAGTGGCTTGGTTCTGTTCGTCATATGCCATGGCAACCACAGCCAGGATCAGGTTCACCAGGTAGAAGGATCCCAAGAAAATGACCAGCACGAAAAAAATCATGTAGGTTTTTCCTGAGGCTCGAAGAGTCTGTAATACAATTCCACGATTAGTATAGGAGAAACACAGGAAGCAATTAATGTTGTTCAAACCAGTATAATTATTTTCTTTTCCATACAGTGAGAGTGGATGAGGACTTAAGCTACCAATCTCCATAAATTACATTGAATTTTTTCTGTATTTTATGATTTTTTTTAGAGGAAGAGAAGGGGAAGAAACTGCATAAATGTTATAGGTTCGTGCATTTCTCATGAAACACTTGTTTTGAACGTCATGAAGAACAAGATTTTCAGTCTGTTACCAGCAATGTGTATTGCATTAGAAGGCTTGGAATAAAGTGTAAAAATCATATGGACTACTTTCATGAAGGGATTTTTTTTTTTTTTTTTTTTTGAGCTTGACAACCCCATCCACTTTTATTAAATAGAAAACAAATCAGCTCGGACATTGTGCAAAACACCACCTTTTGTGTTGCATGAACTAAATATAATCATTCGAGTTCAGTTTCCTCTACCTGTTGGTAAAGATTCTCCCAGTAGTCTTGAGTCATCAGTCTGAATAATGAAAGGAAGGCCCAGCCAAAGCTATCAAAACTTGTGTAACCAAAATCTGGATTACGACCTGCTTTTATACAGACAAATCCTTCTGGACACTGCCTGAAATGCACATGTGTGACACTTGATTGTCAAAAACGCACAACAACATGAAATGAGCTTTTAAAGCTCTTTTAAAAAGAAGAAAACTGAACAGGTTTATGATGAATTTGTTGGATATTCAGATTTGTTTGCACGTGTTGCTTACCCAGCATCACTGTTTTTCCCACAGATTAGAGCGTCTTTCTTTCCTGGTTGGATATAATGGTTACCTACAGGAAAAAGAAGAGAGAATTCATAATAGGTCTTATACAAAGCTAAAGTGCATTAGTTGTTTTGTGCTATATTCCATTTTTTGGTGTTTATTCTGTCCACAATAGGTTTTTTCATACCATATTTCTTATATTTTAACATTCTTCATTGGTCAATTTTTTGTACAAGAAAAATAAAAATGATATGCCCATTTACCACCCTCTTCCTGACCCTTTGAATTAAATGGGATGTGTTCACAACAGGGCCAAACCCCAAGCAAATGAGGGAAATGTCAAAATACCAGTAAGATGTATCAGAATAAAATGGAGAGTGGAATGAGGAAGGCATCCCCCACAGCAAACAGCGCACCAGATTACCTCACTCCTGCATTATAGCTTTCCCCATCCAGCTAAAGTACTTGCCAATGGATATCATATTCCCCTCCATGAGCAAGGTGGAATTCCTCTTTCTCTCTAACAGGTTTTTCATGGCTGGTGGTGTTGAAACATCCATGATGCTGAATGAAGACAGCTGGCTGTCTTACACACACAATATTTCCTTTTCAGACTGGTCACAAGTATATTGGACCTGTCACTCTTAAATTTGCTTTTTATTGGCCCTGATCAAAATGTTACTCATATACACTCTGGTCTACTTAAACCTCTCTTCAGTAAAAATGTGTGGATTAGGATGCAAATTATCAGTCCTTCCTGAATTATGTGATCTTGTAATACCCATATTATTCGCAATAACTTGCCACATGCATTTAAGAGTGAATTCAAAATGAAACCTAAACCTGGAAGAATGTTTCAAAGTGCCCCTATTATGCTATTTTCAAGACTCTTAATTTAGTTTTTCTGGTCTCCCACAACAGGTTTACATGCATCAAAGGTAAAAAAAGTTTTATTTTCTCATAATATTCAATGCACATCACAACATTTTTCAATGATTCTCAAACAACTCGATGGATGAATCAGTCTCTCTAAATCCCTCCTTTCCGTGAGCTATTTTGCTCTGATTGGCAGATGGCCCACTGATTGGTCTACCGATACAGCACCTGTCGGAAACAAAAACGCCCACGCCCATTGACATAAGTGAACTACAGCTACATCCGGAAGCTCACTACAGCTCAGCGATTGTACAGCGTAAACTAAAGACCGTAACGAACGATGACGTTGATTTTACCATATCAATATGAGCGCGAGTCCAAAGATGAAACATTGGAAGAACCTGAACCTCCATCGCAAAGAAGACGTTACTCCGTGATACACTACTAATTTTGAGGTACATTATTTGAGGTACGTGTTTGCCTTCAAGAGCAAGCACTTTGCAAATCCCTGAGTATTTTACATTTGAGGGCTGGTGAAGTCGTTCGCGGGCGGAAAACACACAACATAGGCGGGCGTTATGCAAATCTATCTTCTAGTGATGTAGAACCGCAAATCAGTAGGATTCGAATAAAATCGACTCGTATTGGCGGTTCAGAGTCGATTGTTTCTTTTGGGATGCAATAACTTTATTTGTCGTGCATTTTGGACTTTTCAACTTTGCAGAACCTTTACATTCACAAACAGCTTTATTACACAAAGAGGATATTCGAAAAACCATAATAGGGGCACCTAAAGATTTACAGTTTTTCTCAATCATGCCTTTGGCTCAATGCTCGAATTAGACTTTTTTTTCTCAAAACAACAAGCACATGTCTCTGAACAATTAGTTTCTTGTTCACATCCGATTTGGGTTTCTTATTGATTTAAGCAATTTACATGTGTTCTGGCATGTGTGCAAAAGAGTAAATACAATTTGCACAACATCTTAATGCACATGGCTTTTTGATCAAAACTGATGAGTTGATACTCAGTGAAACTGTCCAACTCTTTACAACTTCTACACATTCTTTTTTTTTTTAGCTGACGCTTTTATCCAAAGCGACTTACAATTGCTATATATGTCAGAGGTCGCACGCCTCTGGAGCAACTAGGGGTTAAGTGTCTTGCTCAGGGACACATTGGTGTCTCACAGTGGATTTGAACCCGGGTCTCTCACACCAAAGACATGTGTTTTATCCACTGCGCCATCATTCTTTCATCATGTGAGCCTTCACATGCAAAATGACCCATCTAGTTATCAAAATCTGTCAGACATGCATGCATATTCCAGAAATACCTGTGTCTGCTGAATTGACAAATGGCCTGCCATTGTAGTGAAATAGAAATATCAATCTTACCAATCAACCAATCAAGTTTGGAAGCATACAGTAGGCTATATGCAGTTTGCCCAACACAATCACTGCCATTTTTGAACATGCAGGAAAATCTAAATCCATAAACAGCAACTGCAGTTTATTTTTGTAGAAACTGAAAATACACAGTTGCTTGTCGTGAAAGAGCAATAGGAAGATATGTACGAATGTGTGGTGTTAGGGGAAGACATACTGTAATAGAATATGTAAAAATTAACAAGCAACTTAATTTTCAGTTTGCATGTACCAAATTCCTACAAATATGTGCTGTATAAATAAAAATGTTCAGTCCCACTTTATATAAGGTGTCTTTAACTACTATGTACTAACATTTACAGAAAATTAATAATTTGATGCAATGCACTTATTGTGTGCATGTTTTTACAGCTAAATCTAGAATAACACTGTGGACTACTCCCTTTTACCCCTTAACCCACACTTACTGTAAACCACCCCATTCAACCAAGTATGTCCCTAACGTACCCATATCCCACCTCAACAGCAGCAAAAGTGTTTTGCAATACAATATGAACACAGGTACTTATTTTTTTTTAATGTAAGTACATAATAGATAAGGACACCTAATATAAATTGAGTACTACAGTATTGACTTTTCCAGCAAGCAATTTACCTGCTGAAATCCGTATCTAAAAAGCACAGTGTGATACACAAGAGCATTCAACTAGACAAAACTGACATTCTTGTATAGTGTAAAAAAGTGTCAACTAAAAAGTAAAAAAGGGCGTGAAAATGTGTAAATCTAAAACATATTTCCATGGTGAAAAAGCATCTAAACATTTTGGCTCACACAATGACAAAAATACTTTTTATTTTGGTGGCTTTGGCCAATTTACCGACATAAAAACTAGGTTTTGAAGCATGAATTAAATGTTTTGGGTGAGTAACTATATTTTGCAAACATGCTATAGAGTTCTGATGTTCCGGCAAACAGTTGTGACAATTGCACTTACAGTTTAGAGAATTTTTCACAATTTTCGAAAATTGTGCCAAGGCGATAAAAAAAAAAAAAAAAAAAAAAAGAAAACTCGGAAAAGTTATTTACTAAAATGAAAAACATTACATATATTCTGTACCATTTCTGAGTCACTTATCAAATAAGTAAATGACTTGCATAAAGTCATTAATTTATATAATCTTTGAGATTTTCTGCTGAAAATACTCACCTAAACCTGATCGAATTATCAATGAATCATGTGAATTATGAACAGACAGACAGACAGACAGACAGACAGATAGACAGATAGACAGATAGACAGATAGACAGATAGACAGATAGACAGATAGACAGATAGACAGATAGACAGATAGACAGATAGACAGATAGATAGATAGATAGATAGATAGATAGATAGATAGATAGATAGATAGATTTCAAAAATGAAAATGAACTTACTGCAATTGTTAATGTAGTTCAAGCAGTCGGGTGACTCGGCACAATCCTCTGCCTTGAGAAGAATAAGAGTAGAATTGAACACACATTTATGTCTAAGAGCTCCCATGAACAGCTGCAGTCCAACCAAAGCAAAGACGCTTAGGCAAAAAAGGGTCAAGATCATCACATCTGACAGCTTCTTCACCGACTGGATCAGAGCTCCAACGATTGTTTTCAGGCCTGTGGAAAGCAGAGGAAACCATGTCACTTTCCAAGTTTACACTGAGGTCTCAGCATAGTGTACTCTGGGTCCAAAATTCACTTTGAATCCAAATATTTCATTCTGGCCATGAGATTGATATATATATATTTAACATGTTTCATTATTTTTGGCATCATCATCATCATCTACGAGAGTTTTTTTTTTCAAGTTTCATTGTTTTCCCAAATATAGCCATTTGAAAATGTGCACGTCAAAACAGACACTTTTTTTTTTTGTTTATGGGTTGACTTTGATTTGATTTGCTAATGACACCTAGAGTGCTTAGCAGTGAACACACCCATGCTAAAGTTGACTAGAAAGAGGAATAAAAAAATCATCTTTTGGAAATTGATCTTAATGCCTTAATTTGTTGGATTAAATGGTTACGTTTGATTTACATTGAGAGATTATCTTATGGAAAGTACCCCATGCCAATCTATGGTGAAGGGTGTGTGATGATGCAGGGATATTTTAATTCCAAAGGCCAAGGGAACTTTATCAGGATGCATAGTTTCCTGGATCCATGAAATAACTGGCCTTTAAAAATAAAAATCTTCCTGCCTCTATGGGAATCTAACAGGGGTGTCCTGACTTATGACCCCTGTATTTTAAGGAACAACATTTATTTATTTACGATGCATTATTCATTCACAAAGAAAATTGGTGTCCTTGAAGGTTGGAGTTTTCCTCATTTCTTAAATTAAGGCATTAAGATCAATTTCCAAAAGATCTTCCTCTTTTTAGTCAACTTTAGCATGGGTGTGTTCACTTATGCTAGGCACTGTACATCAGAAAGGGTCAGGCGGTCATTCTTATAATTCAACTTAAATCATGTCAGATCGCAGCGTGTGATAAAATTATTAACATTATTTTTGGACCCTGAATGTAATTATTTAACATATAAATACACACACAAACACACAAACACTAATATACACATCCATATACACTAATATATATATATACAGGTCCTTCTAAAAAAATTAGCATATTCTGATAAAGTTAATTATTTTCCATAATGTAATGATAAAAATTAAACTTTCATATATTTTAGATTCATTGCACACCAACTGAAATATTTCAGGTCTTTTATTGTTTTAATACTGATGATTTTGGCATACAGCTCATGAAAACCCAAAATTCCTGTCTAAAAAAATTAGCATATTTCATCCGACCAATAAAATAAGTGTTTTTAATACAAAAAAAAAAAGTCAACCTTAAAATAATTATGTTCAGTTATGCACTCAATAGTCAATACTTGGTCGGGAATCCTTTTGCAGAAATGACTGCTTCAATGCGGCGTGGCATGGAGGCAATCAGCCTGTGGCACTGCTGAGGTGTTATGGAGGCCCAGGATGCTTCGATAGCGGCCTTAAGCTCATCCAGAGTGTTGGGTCTTGCGTCTCTCAACTTTCTCTTCACAATACCCCACAGATTCTCTATGGGGTTCAGGTCAGGAGAGTTGGCAGGCCAATTGAGCACAGTAATACCATGGTCAGTAAACCATTTACCAGTGGTTTTGGCACAGTGAGCAGGTGCCAGGACGTGCTGAAAAATGAAATCTTTATCTCCATAAAGCTTTTCAGCAGATGGAAGCATGAAGTGCTCCAAAATCTCCTGATAGCTAGCTGCATTGACCCTGCCCTTGATAAAACACAGTGCACCAACACCAGCAGCTGACATGGCACCCCAGACCATCACTGACTGTGGGTACTTGACACTGGACTTCAGGCATTTTGGCATTTCCTTCTCCCCAGTCTTCCTCCAGACTCTGGCACCTTGATTTCCGAATGACATGCAAAACTGAGCAACAGTCCAGTGCTGCTTCTCTGTAGCCCAGGTCAGGCGCTTCTGCCGCTGTTTCTGGTTCAAAATTGGCTTGACCTGGGGAATGCGGCACCTGTAGCCCATTTCCTGCACACGCCCGTGCACGGTGGCTCTGGATGTTTCTACTCCAGACTCAGTCCACTGCTTCCGCAGGTCCCCCAAGGTCTGGAATCTGTCCTTCTCCACAATCTTCCTCAGGGTCCGGTCACCTCTTCTCGTTGTGCAGCGTTTTTTGCCACACTTTTTCCTTCCCACAGACTTCCCACTGAGGTGCCTTGATACAGCACTCTAGGAACAGCCTATTTGTTCAGAAATTTCTTTCTGTCTTACTCTCTTGCTTGAGGGTGTCAATGATGGCCTTCTGGACAGCAGTCAGGTCGGCAGTCTTACCCATGATTGCGGTTTTGAGTATTGAAACAGGCTGGGAGTTTTTAAAAGCCTCAGGAATCTTTTGCAGGTGTTTAGAGTTAATTAGTTGATTCAGATGATTAGGTTAATAGCTTGTTTAGAGACCCTTTTCATGATATGCTAATTTTTTGAGACTGTATGCCAAAATCGTCAGTATTAAAACAATAAAAGACCTGAAATATTTCAGTTGGTGTGCAATGAATCTAAAATATATGAAAGTTTAATTTTTATCATTACATTATGGAAAATAATGAACTTTATCACAATATGCTAATTTTTTGAGAAGGACCTGTATATATAGATGTATACACATATGTGTGTGTGTGTGTTTATATAAATGTTTTTACTTTAAATGGTCTTAATGTTTCAAAAAGGAAATCTCTGAATATTTCAGGTTACAAGCTGAAGTTCACAGATTAGTCGATTTTTTTATGCATCACATGCACATAAATGCTCTTAACAACTAAACAGCGACTAAATGAAGGCATGCAAGACGACTACAGTACGAAGGTAAACTCATCACAAAAGGAGAGGAGAGACAAAAACAGCAACACTAGCTCTTAATGATTCTGCTCCAGATTTCAATTACACTTGACGATGATTGTTTTAGTAATATAAACTAAATAAGTTCACTGATTCGGTCTCAAGACTCCATAACAGTTCTCATCATGACAAATTTCAAGGAGTCGTTGCATAGAATCCAAAGGATAAGTTAAAGACATCTGCGATTTTTGACCTATGGACTCAAAATAATTGAGTTATTCAATGTTAATCGGACATCACTGCTTGTTTTTTTTTTTTTTGCGTGCAACCATCAAATCACAAATCAAAGGAAAATACCTTAAAAGAAAACTGTAAAATGTTTGGGAAAAGACATGTTTGAAGTAAACAGTGTCAGCATCTGTGACCTTGACCTTTTCCCCAACTCTCACCTGGGATGACCGATATAGTTTTCAGGGCTCGAAGAACTCTGAACGCTCGCAAGGCAGACACACTACCCAGATCCACAAACTCAGTTACATATCTGAAACAGGGAGGGTGGGAAATCAAACACTGACGGTCATACAGCACACAGGAAGGTCTCGACACAGGGTTGCAGTCAGGTTAAAAGGTCACACAGAGGTTGTACACCTAAACGTGCGCTCTGCTTACCTGGAATTACTGAAATAGTTTTCAAAGCTCTGAGTACCCTGAATGTGCGGAGAGCTGATACATTGCCTATCTTTATAAACTCTGTAACAAACCTGTGGGACCAAATGCACAGATACAAATGAAGCTGAAGGGCACTGTAGATGCCAATGGCCATTTTTTGGACTAATTATCATAACTGAAGTCAGTGGTTCCCAAACTAGGGGCCCGGAGTAATAAAAAGGGGGACGTGGCTAAATCATAGTGTATAGTCAGAAGATGGTTGTGCAAAAGAAACCTCTCCAGGGTGATACAAGATACCCCACTGTGAAATGATTTTGCTTATTATGCGGCTGCTTGCCATATGAGCAAATAATTGAACACTAAATATTAATTTGACATATTTTATTACCTCAGGATGGCTCACAGTACCTGCTTAAGTGGTTTGATAGTAGTAGCGGAATAACAGACCGCTAGATGCCGCGATTAAACAATCCGAATCAGGTATTGCAGGGATCCGTGTAAAAATATAAATGAATAATATGAATAAATGCATAAAGCATGGACAAGTTTGTGAAAGGATTGCCAGTACTACATAAATGTAAAGCAGACAATGAATCTACTTCAAACATCACAACTGTCCAAGTGCTCGTGCACCTTCTGAAACATACCACAAATGGATTTGCAACGTTCGCTTGGTCTCGTCCAGTGAGGACAGCCTCGAGACAAGAACACTTTGAGGCAAGTCTCGCCCTAGGATTCACCAGAACAATAGTGGGTAATGAAGGGAGACCACAGTGTGTAGCGTATCTCAAACTATTAGCTTCTGACAGAATGAAGCCAAACTTAGAGACTTCCCATCACAAACACAAAGAGAAGACTGTTGAATACTGTATTAATAACAATGCTTTAAATAAATCCTATAGGGTTCTGCAAGAAAGGTCATGTCTGAGAGTCTTTATGTGGGTGCATGTACTGTAGATGGGGGGCTTACAAATATTTTTTTGTCGGGACCGGCAGAAAAGGTTTGGGAACCACTGAGGTAAGATGGCATCTGCATCTTAAAAATTTAATTAAATTAAATTAAAATAACTTCAGACAACTTAAAATAATTTACTGTTTTAAAAAAATTAAACAGAATTATCTTAAACTTTAAAAAGTAATAGAACATTTAAGAATTGTATAAAGTATTTTATTAAGTACATTAACATACAAAAAATAAAATATAGAAAAATAAAAAAAGAATTTTATCTAAATTAAATATAATAAAATACATTATAAAACAATTATTATATATTTGGTGTCATAAAGTGATATTTCAACCAAAATTAAAAATTCGGTCATCATTTACTCAAGCTGTAGTTGTTCCAAACCTTTATGAATTTCTTTCTTCTGCTGAACACAACAGAATACAGTATTTCCTCCCCAAATCTGTGGAAGTCAATGGGGTCCATAAACAGTATTTACCCATATTCTTAAATATCTTCTTTTGTGTTCAATAGCAAAAAAGAAATGCATAAAGTTTTGGAACAACTTGAGGGTGAGTAAATGATGACAGAATTTTCATTTTTGTGTCAACGTTTTTGTATCCCTTCAATATGACCTGGCAAAGCAGTCAACCTAGTTTTAAATGAACAAAATGCCATTTTGAGGAAGTTTTTGTGAAATCTTAGTAAAGAAACACAAGTTTGTTTAATTTTGAACTCTAAACTTTAAACTCTAAACATATAAACTACTAATTTAACACTTTCAAATGTTAGAAAAAAAACTATTTTTCAAACCAAGTTAAAAAAGAACTTTTATGCACAGCACTTTTATTCTTGCAAGCTGACTACAACAACTGAAATGACAACCTTTGACCACTCTATGGACTATGAAAAACTAAAGGTGAAGTGTGTAACTGATGTGCCACTAGCAGAAACTAACAGAATTGCAAAAATAACGATGAAAGAGCTTCAACTGGCCCTTTCCGTCCCATCCTCCTGTTCTAATACTAAATGGAAAAAAGGGTGGGACTTTAATCTATGAGGAACTAATTGGATGGAGCAAAGTGGTGTTCCATATAAAAATGTATTCAGGTAGTTAATATTATTTAATGGACCTGAGCTAACATTAACTAACAATGTACAGTAGTATTTTTCTTAACTAACGTTAAGAAAGAGTAATAAATACTGTAACAAATGTATTGCTTACTGTTAGTTAATGCATTAACTAATGATAAGTGTTACCATTTTTTTATTTGCAACAATTTTAACAGACGAATCCTCCACAATAAGACAGAAATGTGAATTAAAAAAGTAAACATTATCTTTTAACATAAAAAAAATACACTCTTCACCTTTAAGCAGTGAGAATTATTCAATTCTAATAATTTATATCAACTTAGCTGGGGTAAATAACAGACTTGTTATACTTACGCCATGACTATAACAATAAAATCCAACCAGTTCCACGGGTCTCTGAGGAACGTAAACTGTCCCACACAGAATCCCCTGGCAGTGATCTTTATCAGCGCTTCAAAAGTGTATATCCCAGTGAAGACATATCTGTTAAAACAAGAGCATCAGTTACTGCACTGAGCAAACATAGACGGCATTTCTACGGTATGTTTGGGAAGGAAAAAAGAGATCAACTCACTCTACATTCTTGGCCCAGTCTGGAGTTTGTGTGTAGACCATGAAAGCGCAGTTGGCCAGTATAGTGAACATTATAATCATACTGAACAATGTGAAAACTGCAGTTAAGGAAATGTAGTGACAGATCTACATTAGAGTTCAAAAGTTTGGGGTTTAGGCTTCAAAGTGACAATAAAGACTTGTATGTTTGTGGCAAGCAGGGCATGGGGCGAGAGTAGTGGGAACGGAGCCTGTGGAGAGGCCTGTTCGTTTTGTTATTTATGTTTATTTTACTATTAAAAGTTAGGTTTAACGTTCGCCGGTTCAAAAACATTAAAAAAATCGTTCCAGCCTCAAACCTTTGAACGGTAGTGTATATGTCTGGAATGCAAAAACACATGATATTTTTTGCAGTGTGATATCAAAGAGGTTTAAAGGCGCATTATCTAGTAAAATCATAATCCATTTAAAATAGATTTCTTGATAAAAGATTATCTTGATAAAATAGGTTTTGGTTCAGGATCAGATTTCACATTGCACATCAAGTCAATAAACCAGTGGCGTTCAGTAGTTCACAACCCACAAATGATTTGCAGGGCTGTTTTAATTGTTGATAAATGCAAATGATTAAGTGAAAATAACCATGTAATCATGCATAGTTAAGATGCAAAGAAAAATAAACAAGCTTATTGATTTTTGATATAGAAAGCACTTCAAACTCTACAGTATTAAGCCACAAATTCATGTGTCACTTGGTAGAAATAGTCAAATTAGACAGTGACAACCTCATCTTTAAAAACCATGAACAAAACTACACAAGGTCAAATAAAATATGACCCGAATGATATCAAAGACGGGTTCACTTCAGGATAAACATGCTTTGTGTGATAAATTATTAGCGACTAATAGCCTATGGCTTAAAGTGTATAAACATAAGACCCATCCAGCACAGCAAGACAGTTCCCATCAACATGTTTTAGCACTTGAGAAGGATATGTATGTACCAAAATCTTAATTGATAGTCTCCTCAGAGGGTTGAAGGGGCTGAAGATGTACAAGGCAGGAGCGGCGTTGAAACGGCTGATTGCCTTTTTTTTGTTCACTACTATGAAAGTCTAAACAAGTGGGAGATAGAGAGTGCATAGAGAGTGGACAAAACAGTCAGTCAATTATGCATATGTATTATCTACACTCACCGGCCACTTTATTAGGTACCCCATGCTAGTAACGGGTTGGACCCCCTTTTGCCTTCAGAACTGCCTCAATTCTTCGTGGCATAGATTCAACAAGGTGCTGGAAGCATTCCTCAGGGAGTTTGGTCCATATTGACATGATGGCATCACACAGTTGCCGCAGATTTGTCGGCTGCACATCCATGATGCGAATCTCCCGTTCCACCACATCCCAAAGATGCTCTATTGGGTTGAGATCTGGTGACTGTGGAGGCCATTTTAGTACAGTGAACTCATTGTCATGTTCAAGAAACCAATTTGAAATGATTAGAGCTTTGTGACATGGTGAAAGTAGCCATCAGAGGATGGGTACATGGTGGCCATAAAGGGATGGACATGGTCAGAAACAATGCTCAGGTAGGCCGTGGCATTTAAACGATGCCCAATTGGCACTAAGGGGCCTAAAGTGTGCCAGGAAAACATCCCCCACACCATTACACCACCACCACCAGCCTGCACAGTGGTAACAAGGCATGATGGTTCCATGTTCTCATTCTGTTTACGCCAAATTCTGACTCTAACATCTGAATGTCTCAACAGAAATCGAGACTCATCAGACCAGGCAACATTTTTCCAGTCTTCAACTGTTCAATTTTGGTGAGCTCTTGCAAATTATAGCCTCTTTTTCTTATTTGTAGTGGAGATGAGTGGTACCCGGTGGAGTCTTCTGCTGTTGTAGCCCATCCGCCTTAAGGTTGTGCGTGTTGTGGCTTCACAAATGCTTTGCTGCATACCTCGGTTGTAACGAGTGGTTATTTCAGTCACTGTTGCCCTTCTATCAGCTCGAACCAGTCTGGCCATTCTCCTCTGACCTCTGGCATCAACAAGGCATTTCCGCCCACAGAACTGCCGCTCACTGGATGTTTTTTCTTTTTCGGACCATTCTCTGTAAACCCTAGAGATGGTTGTGCGTGAAAATCCCAGTAGATTAGCAGTTTCTGAAATACTCAGACCAGCCCTTCTGGCACCAACAATCATGCCACGTTCAAAGTCACTCAAATCAACTTTCTTCCCCATACTGATGCTCGGTTTGAACTGCAGGAGATTGTCTTGACCATGTCTACATGCCTAAATGCACTGAGTTGCCGCCATGTGATTGGCTGCTTAGAAATTAAGTGTTAACGAGCAGTTGGACAGGTGTACCTAATAAAGTGGCCGGTGAGTGTATATATATACATATATATAAATAATTGGATCATATAAGAAATGTATACCTATATATATATATATAAACGTGTGTATATGTGTATATATATAGGCCTATATATATATTTATACACATACACACGTATACCTATATATATATATATATATATATTAGGGCTGTCAAACAATTAATCGCGATTAATCGCATCCAAAATAAAAGTTTGTGTTTACATAATATATGTTTGTGTACTGTGTATAATTATTTTTAATACATAAATACCCATACATGCATGTGTATTTAAGAAATATTTGCATGTATATACTGTATATAGAGTAGACTGAATGTAGCCTATATATAATGTATATTTGATATAAATATAAACATTTTATATATAAATAACATATTTTTCTTAAATATATACATGTGTGCATTCATATACAAATTAATTATACACAGTACACACACATATATTATGTAAACACAAACTTTTATTTTGGATGCGATTAATCGTGATTAATCGTTTGACAGCCCTTATATATATATATATGTGTGTATATGTATATATATATATATATATATATACTTATACACATAAACATGTTTATAAATATATATATATTTCTTATTAAATTTTACTTATCTGCATTTTCCATTTTTCCAATCATAAAACTTTCCAAGTCTTTCTTTCCAAGTCTTTATTTCAAAATCTAAGACTTAAACTAGATTCTGAATCAATGTGATGTTTTGGACCCCTTGCAGGACCTCTGTGGACTCTCAGGGGTTTATGGGCCCTCCGGTTGAAAAATATAACTCAAAACTCACTGCCTGATTGATGTAGAACTGGTCCAGGTCCTCCAGTGGTGTGGACACCAGTCCCCTGGGAATGTCTCCATATATGAAGGGCAGACTCTTCCCAGCCTCCAGGCCACTGTTGGGTTTCGTCTCGCATTCATCGTCTTTAATTCTCTCCCGTTTGTCCTTGGACTTCTTGTTCTCCTCAGCGATCCGGCTCTCGATGGCCTTAAGAGATTCACGGGTGAACTTATGGAAACTTTTAGGTCCTGGTGGGGTAAGCGTATGTGCCATTTTCTCATCCTGAACCTTCAGAGTGATTCGCTACACGTCTGCATGAGAAACAACTGGCAGAGAAAGAGAGAAAGGGCGAGTCAGAGAGACAGTAATTCACGCAATGTGATCGTTAACTGTATGGTTAGCCTATACAAAACCCTTCCAGAACCACAGAGAGAAAAGAGCATCCTATAAGTGACGGATACGCCTTCAGTGCTAAAAACCATCAAGTTATCAGGAACAGAGCTCTCAAGGAATCAGAATTATGTATGCCACACAATTAAATAATATGCTGTCTCAGCCTGCTTTCAAGAGCAGCTTAAACCTAAATTCATTTGTTTAAATTGTATTAATTTGCCATTGGACATCAACCAGTATCCAAAACACAACATTTGCTCATTGCAGAAATAACAGTCAGAACATAATTTATGAGATTCAGGTCATACTTTTGGTTACTTGACATTACAAATTATTAAAGTAATGAGAGAACAAAATTAATTTTCCTGCTGAAAGACTTAAGGCCCGTCCCCACCAAGGATGATATCTATAAAGATAACAATAAAGATATAGTTCTAAAAATCGTTCTCAATATTAAAGAATAGCAATGGTTCACACCACAGCTATAACGATAACGGCACAGAGAAACGAGCTGGTAAAGGATAAAAACATTGACAGCCAATCAGAATCCATCCCGCTGTAATGAGCTCGACCATTTAAAGTGACAGACAAGCATAAACAGAACAACATCGTCCACTGGTGGGGACGCTAATATAGTTATTGGTGTGAATGAGCCTTCAGATAAATGTACATTTCCATGTTGGTCCAGATGTTCCCATAAAGGTCCTGTTGGTTAAGCTTTTCATGTGGAGCAGCATTTGGAGCACAAGTCATGCTCATGTGACAAAAGGCGAATCCATTCATATTCAGTGCATGGGTCACCCCAACTGAAGTTCGAATTGGAAACCCTCAGAAAACCAGGCCAAATCCATAATCACTACACAACCGCCCACTTATATTATTGTATTTCCATCCTAGTCCAAGTTACTGTACAAGTTGTTCATTGACAACAAAAACACTTTAAAGGAGAACTCCGGCGCAAAATGAACCTTTGGTCTAATAAAACATTGGTACCTAGTCAACCGTTCTCTGAGATTTGTTTTCATGATAATCGAATGTAAAGAGTTTTATCTCTAAAAACTGTTTAGCGTATAACGCTAGTAATGGGGGCATATAATAAGTAAAAAGAAATCGCTAGTTTATACCACTAACAAGGCTCAAAATAGCCCCACACAAACACAGTAACATAATGAGGGTCCCTACATGCAAAACGAAGCACTGAGAACTTTGTAAGTGTACAGACCGTTTAATAAGAAGATAAAGATAAAGACAGTCCACTTCGTGTATACAGACAGGAGCCATCTTTGGAAAACAGTCTCGACTAATCAAACCACGAACGCCATTCATACAGTTCAGAAGTTCACTAAACTTCATACAGTTCAGCTCACTTAGCACGTCGTTCGTGGTTTGACTAGTTGGATTGTTCTGAAGGTTCAAATCAAATCATAACAATTCTGAACATTCACTTTTTTGATTATTTTTTTTTTCTGCAACAGGAAAAATGTACGTCAGATTAATCAGAAAAAGTTAGAGCAGCTAAGTACTGTGCTGATTTTGGTGGACATCGCTTGAAAGCTTTAGGAGAAGTACTAGAAAGCTCCTTTAAGGCAAGTTAGTCGACCTTTTGTGCTTTCCAGCTCCTACTTGATCTACTTGAATGGGGGAGAAAATCCCATAATGGTTTGTCGATAAGTACATTTCAAATCAGGAAAAAAATCTGACAACAAAGGAAAAAGTTAAGTGCAACTCTCGCATATAGTCTTGTGTTATGATACTAGTTGTAATGTTAAATTTCAAATTGCTTGAAAAATGTATTCCTTTGCATTTATTTGCAACACAGCATTTAAAGCCACAGTGTACAGTGTTTGATCAATCAAACCAACATTTACAACTGGATATTACATTTAAACTAAACACTACATTAAAAATGAGGCCCTCTTTGACACATCTGCATACAGTCAGTTACTGAAACAGCTGGAAAAAAGTAAAGACATGCAATAACCGATCATTGATGTTACTTCCGAGTACATGGGTTCTCGTGAGCAATTAGTGAAGGAGGAGATGAATTTTCTTGATAATTTGATGATAATTTCCTTATATCAGATGAAGCACTATAGGCATAACCACTGAAAAATCTCTTCTAATATGTGTATTCTGAAAAACCCACAACATTAAAAGTGATAAGCGACTCATCACACCCTGCACTTTGTTGAGGGGGGACCACATTTCACTCCAGGAACCAAACACTGAATAAAACTAGCAAACATCACATGCTAAATCAGGCAGGGGAACCTAGAACAATAGAGGAGCCACATGTGAGAAACACACTGCCAGACATTGGTCCTAGGACATTTCCTCTGTAATACTAAGAATCATTATCAGATATCATTTCCTAATTCCATTACCATATCATAATATGTCTTCAGGTCAATAAGAGACGACATCATTTCCTTCAGATATCGGACTTCACAAGTCACGCTGGAAGGACACAAGGATCCAGATCAGAATCCTGGTCGGAAAACAACAATTGTACCCAATGAGCAAAACATTATAATGTACTTTTGGTATCCAAGATGTGAGGGTTCAGGTCTTGGCCTTTCTTTTTATTCTGCTCTCACAATGACAAAAACACAACAGTCACTGCATTCTGTCTTACAATCTGCTCACCCAACTTAATGAACAATATCCCATGAATTATTCCACTGGCAATCACTCATTTCTCTCCTCGAATCCTCACTCACATCTCTCGCCTAGTCTATTTTTGCGATACCCTTTAAAAATTAATATTCTCCATTTGTCTTCACTTCCAATCCCTATTATTAGTATTCATTCCTGTGCGAAAGATAGTAAAGTAGGGATTAGGAAATACAATATGATATAGCCTATTTATTTGTTAAAATGATAAAAAGAAATTTGAATTATCAATCACATTATAAAAAGTCAATACAAATTTTTTTTTTCATTTAAAGGGGTCATATAATGCCATTTTTGAACAAGCTAATATGATTCTTTAGAGTCTAAATTAAAACTTTGTAATATACTTTAATTAAAAATTCTCATTAGTATTGTAAGAAAACAGTTATTTTACCTGGTCAAAAACAGCTCTATTTTCAGCACGCCGTTTCAGTGCATATGACTTTAAATGATAATGAGCTCTGCTCACCCCGCCCCTCTGTGCTGTGTACACCGTTTGTAACACAATAACCATAACGCGTTGTTCATTATAGACGTGGGATTATGAATTATATTGAGAACGTCGTACATAGAAAACATGCCGTAATGTACCCTGAGTGTAAACCTTTGACGCATTCATTGAGAAGCGTGCATCTAGCGATTTGCAAAGATTAATATAAATATTAAAGATTAATAAAACGTTACACTCACTTCAGTTATTTTGGAGGTTCAGCAGGAACACGAATAGTTGGTACCGGTCCAGGAGCAGCTTCTTAGCAAAACCAGCTTTACTGACCCTCCTCGTTTATAAGCAGTCTGGTGTGTGAAATGATACAGGCACTGCCAACACACATTTCAGTACAATCAACTTGTAAAAGTGCATGTACCATTATATGATCCCTTTAAGCCAACTGACTAGTCACACGTTTAAGATATTAATTTAGTTACTTAAAGGGATAGTTCACCCAAAAATGAAAATTCTGTCATCATTTACTCACCCTCAAGTTGTTCCAAAACTGTATGATTTTCTTTCTTCAGCTGAACACAAAATAAATTATTTGAAAGAATATGGGTAACCAAACAGTTGATGCGTCCATAGTATGGAAATAAAATAATAGTATGGAAGTCAATAGGGTCATTCAATTGTTTGGTTACCAACATTCTTCATATATCTTCTTTTGTGTTCATACCCGTTTGGAACAACTTGAGGGAGAGTAGCCTAAATGATGACAGAATTTCCATTTTTGGGTGAACTATACCTTTAAATATATACTGTGTAAATATAAACAATGAAGGTAACATTGCTAACATTGTTCTACAGAAATAATAAACCATAATAATGAGCCTTTAAAATATAAATTAAGCACTCAAGCACACGCATAAAGCTTGCTGCAGAGACACTAGATTATGAATCTGTCAGGAAAAAAAACAGTAAGGAGACTGTCTGAACATTTTAATAATTAATTAATAAACTAGTGTTTTCTGAGTCAGTGTCTCGTCATCTACGCAGTATAGTGGATGCACCTATAGAGAAATGCACATTAATTTAAACGTCACGTAGTAAAACATGGTACTAATATAGCTTCACTCCATGCAAACACTTAGGCTAGATATGCACCTAATAATAGCGCACATTTATGTAGGTTAACGTTAACGATAGGCTACCATCTACACGTTGCATGTTGCGTCAAAAAGCTTAAAAATGCTGCCGTCAGATAAAGCAGCTGAAGGCATCAAAGAATGCCCGAATCCAATGTTTCCTTCACTTCCTGTCTCCTGACACACTGTCATCTGATAATTTTTTAAGGCAGCATAGATGTATCCTTCGCTGCCTTTGATATCCCACAATCCTGTGCGTACCATTCTGTGACATGTGAGCAAATAATCAATAAAATAAAGATGGCGTCTGAAAGTTGCGGTTGGTGGTCTGTGTGTGTGTAAATGTTTTTGACCAACGTTTTCCACATTTGATAGGGAGAAATTACTAGCAAATTCAGATTTGCTTTATTATCACCTCTCTCTATTTTGGTGTAGATTATTAAACATTACACTGCCTCAGAAGTCAGTTTCAGCAGGCACCTTCGTTTGCAAACGCTGTATGCAAAGTTACTGCCAGTTAAGTCAGCCGCCCAAGCTTTCGGACCCAGCCCATGCTTGAGGTCAATGAATGATACACAGACATTTGGATTTCCTGCTCCACATAATTATACCACATGTATCTGCCTTGTTAACGATCTGTCCGTCACAGACTGCATGACTTCGCCACTTCCTGTACCATTCC